TTTATTTTATCCTGAAAAACCGAAAGGATTTATTTGCCAACATGATATTATAATATGATACAGAAAAAAATTTTGATCAATGTGAAAATATAGAACACTGTTAATGATATTATTTGAATATTTTAACAATTATTATTCACTATTATAATTAAATAAAAATTTCCCTCTTAAAATGGCAAGTAATTTACAACCAAGAATTGGGGATCAGTAGCAAACCAACAACAATTTCATGATAATCAAACAAGACTGGGCTGTTCTAAATTTTGTAACCAATCAAATAAATTGAGATTACATCAGAACGACTCCTTCGAATCATACGAAAATTATTAGGAACTTAAGGCTGTATATGCTAGACGACAAAATGGTATAAACTTGATCCCCGTAAACAAATTAGAACCGAAGATATATAATAAAAATATTTGAGAAGTATTTCTAAATTTCTAGCTTAAAAAGGAACGAATCCCAAAACATATTGATGGGGTTTGGAATAACGACAATTCAGCTTTCCAATGGTTGTACAAACTCTGAATTTGTAGAAAATCTTGAGAAGTTAAGCCTGCTTTAATTAACAGCTGAAGAAAACTACTCCTCTAGAAAATCAAGTACCGTAAGATGGGGTAAAACTTTGAGACAGCAGTTAAAATTTAGTTTGTGGTGATTCCATGGTGGATACACTGTACTCGCCTTTTTTCTGACACTTTAGGATATTTCCGAGAATCTATGATTAGGTTGCTCTGAGTGACATTGTAACCGAACTTCATCTTGAAGTAGCGAAAGGGAACTAGTACCTATATTATTTGTAATTTAGAAAGAAAAATATCTTTAACAACTGATTTCATTGCTGAGATCTTATACACAACCTGTCACTATCTAAGTAGTAACTCATCAAATAATAAAAAGAGCATTTTATTACATTCTAAAGTAATTAATAATAAATAAATACATATAAGTTATAATTCATTATAAAATAACATTTTGGACTTAAAAGAATCAGTTGACCCCTTGTTCAGAATTTTATTATATCGTTAGAATGCTAAAGAAATTAAAATTTAACATGCTATGGTAATTTATCATATATGATAATAAGCTGAAAATTCCACCCTAATAACAAACAAGATCTCTGTAAACTTGTTCCCACGAGTAGACAAAATCAAATAGCTCAGCTCCACAATAACCTTAACAAATGACTAACGGTCAGACCATCTTATAACAAGCGCAAACCGGATTTCCTTCTTCATGTCAAAGCAATTGAAATCCCGAAAAATCTCAAATTAAGGGTGTATAATCCTATGCTAAAGCCAGTTCTAATATATGACTATGAGATCTGTATACTAACCAGTAGGATAAAATGTGGTGTATATAAAAATATATTTAAAAGTCTAAATAATCATGAACTTGGAATAGTATAAAATAAATACATAATTCAAATAATATTATGCATGAACAAGTAAGAATGAACTTCTAAGAATCCTTCATAAAAGGATGAAATTTCCTTTAAATTGTTAAGATAATTTCACACAAGAGAAAAATGTTATAAGAGTTGTAATAAATGTATATATAAAAATGTATCATTATACTATGCATTATGGAAGCCAAACGTAAAAATAGATATCAATAAGGAGATTGTCCGGGTGGCAGGCGGTCCAACGCTACTCATTCACTAGTTACAACACTGATAAAGATCCAATATTATGGTTTGAAATGTCAGCATTTAATAAGTAGTTCCCACCGCTAATTTTGTTATTCTTGCCCGCCACCTAGATCATCTCTTTCTTGATTTACCATACTATTCACCATATTATATATATAATAAAAATATGAATGTTTAATACAATTGTAATTGTCTTACATAAATTGATTTAAACTTTCACAACTGGTAATTTTGTTTATAAATATTGAGAAAACTTTAAAAGATGAGATCAGGACAAAAATATCCAAGACTTTGTATTGAATTATTTTACGTTTATATAATTATATAAAAATGAGTTATTAAGAGAATAAAATTATAAATTTGGATATACATATAAAGAAGATTTTTTAAAATAACAACTGATAAGTTTTCATCATGTCAAAGTTAAAGATTTTATGTTGAGAATTTATAAAGAATGCGTTTCAAATCATGGATAAAAACTTAATGAACTCTTAAATAAAAAAAAAAATTAAACAGAATTTATATTATAAAATTTTATTAACATTAAGCAGCAAAAACTAAAAAAAAAAAATAGAAATTAAAAGTTAAGTTATAATTTGTATATTACAAATACTAAGTCTCAAGTTCCCAAAATACCCGTTAACTTCCAACCAGTAAACATTTCACCAATGTCGATACCATCCGGACAGAAAAAAAACAAGATTTCACACATAAAAATAAAACACAGTATATCAACATTATAAGACAGATCGATCTTCAGAGGCCATTAGAATGGATGAGAAATTTCTTATCAGTTAAGCATTGAAAACTCGAACTGTGGGAATGAAATCCTCAATGTAATACAGAATTTTTTTACACCTATCCATTATCATAAAATCTATTAAAAAATCATAATGAAAGCTTATTAATTATAAAAGTTTCCCCAAAAGAGTTATTACTCCTGAAGAAGATCTGCACTAGGCAATGCAAATCTAACACAGAACAATTCATGATGTATATAATTAATATATTACTCATGTTTCAATGTATTCAAAAGCCTTATGTTTCTAGTCAAACCATTTCTAACGCTCTAACCAAATAAAAACTTTGAAACCCTTTACAATCAGTTTTCATCAAACATAATTTAAAATAAAAGATTTCACCTAAAAATTAATTAAGTTCAATTTCTCATGAAACAGTTAAAAAGATGATGATGATATCTTTAATAAGAATAATTTTTTTATAACTGAAATCACTTCCGCAAGTTTTCTGGTTTCATCTGTACATGTGATCTTGCCTGTCCTGATAGTGATAAAACTGGCAGAATGTTGGCTGGTTGATAGCTTAATAGTCATTTGGAGACTTGAGGATTTAGCACTATTTCATAACTTTTTTTGTTTTAAATCAGATAAAATAACTTTAAGAACTAAAACTTCCAAAAGTAATGACTAGTTTCAGACATATATATAATAATAAATTGAACCATATTTTTGAAATTTCAAAATAATAAATTTATCAATAGTACAGCGAAAAATTAAACACGCCTAAACATTAACCCTACAATATGATTTAAAGGAAATATATTAACAGAAATTATAATTAATCATGTACATGAAGATATATGTAATATTTAAATTGAAGATATGGAAAAAACAAAACAGCAAACCTTTCATAACTAAGATACTTAAAAGTACCGTACTTACAGAAAGTATCCCATCCTCCAACTCAATCTTTGAATAATATTCTGTGATCACTTCCTTCACACGTATTTATGAAAGAGTTATTGCAGTACACTGCTACGAAAAACTGTTACTTTAGAATTTATAATAATGGTATAGGTAATCTCCAACAAAAGGAACTAAGCTTATAAGTAGAGGTACCACTCTTTATCATTATGAAATTGAATAAAACCATAAGAGTAAAATCTAAGTATGATTTTAAAATTCAGACAAAAGTTAAATGACTTATAGAAGTTTGATTTACATTATAATGACAAAAAATGTTTTCCTGTAATAATTGATCCATAGTTATCTTTTACTTTAAATAATAATAAAGGATTTACTTGTGTAAAACTAGCTAATAATTTAAATATTTGTGGACGATAATAATTCTATAGCATGACAAAGATGATGATATACAATATCAAAAAATTATATGAAATTTAACATGTTGCTTGTCCCTAATGACCCACATACTTGGGTCAAAACATCTGCAAGGTCAATAAAATAAACCTTAGACTACAAATCCTGATTATTTATTTTCCATATTGAACATTTACATTATATTACATGCCGAACACTATAATAAACAATTTTTACCTTTCTGACTAATGATAAACACACCCACTTAATTACATAGCTAGGAATTCATTAAAATAATAGCAATGAAATCGAAAAAAGAAAAGAGAAGTTATAACAGTAAAGCCTTATACTTACTATTACAAAAAATAAAAAATCTACTTGTTTCTGCCTTGTGCAAAATGGAGAAACAAATTATTATAACTTCTTATAATCCCACCATATTATCTGATCTCTATTTTTTTTTCACATAAACGTTTTTAATTATTTAAACTCTGATATATCAAAGTGTGTAGCCATTTACTGTGATTCTAAGGCGTCCAGGTAATCGTCTGGCTTCTGCATTCCTTGCACTCATCATCACATGTCTGAAGTGATCATATGCACTCATCATTCTGCATATGATCACATGTCATTCAAATATGACGTTACTATAGTATTATCATTATTTAATTAAAATCTTGTGAGATAAAAAATCTCCTGAAAAGGTACAATTCTATAGCAATTATTTTTTAAATTAATCATTGTCATTTAATTCAATCATCTTAATCTGGGAATTAAATCTAATCTTAATCTCAATGTTGGTAAGTAAACAATAAATATAAGTCTAAGAAATGTTTTTCTAATTAGCATATCTTAAGAACATATATAAATAAAAACGTTTAACTTCAATCAAGAGTATATTCAATTTCTAATGATAATTTATCGCTTAGGTAACATGAATTAGTCCCTTAAAGTTGAAGATTACCTCAATGCACATATATAGTAATAATAAATGTCTCATATAAATTCAAAACAAGAATTAAACAAAATTAGACATGCCCTCTGATAATAATACACAAACATTACAATAATTATGACTTTCATGTTAAATAGGATTAAAATCGACATTATGAACATATCATTAACTCTGAATGAGAATTCAGTAAACCTAGTCACATTTTTTACATAATCACAAAACTAAATGACAACACTATAAATTGTAATAAACAACCAGAAATAAGTAATTCAAATCATACGAAAAAGCCATTGTTCTATAAGAAATTAATTTAATTTAAAAAATGTATACTCACTTCTGGGCATTCACTTGTCGAATATGATGAAAAACATTAACAACATCTCTGATTCTTCTGGGTGCTTCCTCTATTTTAGATGCAAGGCAAATACAAGCCATTGCTAGTGTATCCATGCTATGCCTAACAAAGGACTTTGAATAATAAAATCGTTGAAATAAAACTTGTCCAGTGGCCATTGCTACCTAAAGAAGAGGTTACTTTATACATCTAAAAATAACAATCCAAAAAAACAGTACTTCAAAACAAACTTACCTGAGGTAGCTTCAACAAAATACCAGCTGTTTGTATGAGCTCACATCCTAAAATTCTGAGATCAGTTTCTGTTTCTGGATCCATACCATCCAGTATTGAGGGCGTGTTGTTGAGTTTATCTTCTGGTAGTAAGACATTATTAAGTGATAATTCTACTTTACCGTAAGGCTTACTAACTACTTTAGAAACGTTAGTGGAAGTATGCTCTGGCCTCTGTGAGCCCATTTTGATACACAACTAAACCAAAACCCCAACAAACATACACTGTGCATCTAGCGGCAATGGCGCTGACTACAAAACTTGATCTAGAGCAGATGTATACTGTTAGATATTAAGTCAACATTGGATGGAAATTATTATCATTAATAAAATATAAATAATATTGATTTCCATTATTAAATTAATAATAATAATTATAATAAATTAAAATAATAATATTTTGAAAATGTTTTTTTAGTTTTATTACATTTGTTTAACATCGATATATTCATAGTTCATAAAATTGCTTCCTATGAAAAAAATTCTAGATTCGTTATCTATATAATCAGTGAAAACCAATTTAAAATAACAATAAATGGTAGATATTGGAGTTGAAAAGCCCTAATTCCCATATTTTGTTTTCTAAATACATCTTTGCAAAGTTTTCGATTTGGTTACAAAAATATAATATTTTTTAATAAATTAGAAATAAATAAATAAAATTGTTCGTATACAATTATTGGATTTAAGATTTTTTTAATGTCAGCAATAAAATTAGAAAATTTACTACAGAAAAAACGTCCTGACAAGTAAATGTATACTTATATTTTCTTCTCCAAAACACCCAAGAGTGGATAGATTGCTTGTTTATTATAGCATAGATGGCAAGAATTGTTTGACAATATTAAGAGAAATTCAACACTATAAGACCAATTCAATACAATTATTTAATAATTTTCAACATTTACCCAATTAGGTCTTAGTAGATATCAAAAAATGTATTCTGGCTGAAGCCACAAATGAAAAATATATATTTTTTTCATTGGCCCATAATTTATTTTTAAATTATGATGTATATACAGACAGCTACTAAATATAATCGCCTCTTTTGAAAAAGAATATTATTTCTAAAAGCATTATTATTCCTGTAATTACATTTTTTTTTATTTAGGATTTTTAGAAATATTTTTGATATACAAAAGTTCTGCTGTACGGTTGTGAAACTTGGGCTCTAACCAGCTCACTAGAAGCCAGAATTGAGATTTTCGAAAGAAAAGTTCTCCGTAAGATAACAGGGTCTATATGGGACCAGAACCTTGACACGTGGAGGAGAAGGAACAATAAAGAACTGCTGAAAGAAACGGGTCAGTCAATATCTCATGACATGAAGGCAAGGAGGTTAAGATGGGCGGGGCATGTAGCTCGTAGCAATCCATCAGGACGCCTTTACACGACAATGAATGCCAGAGTAGTAGGCAAGAGACCACGTGGGAAGCCAAAAACCAGATGGATAGATAGGATAAACAAAGATGCGGCTGAGCTTCATGCCGCAAACTAGAAAGCTGTTGGCCCAAGATAGGCAGAGGTGGAGAAGGCTGGTTCAGGCGGCCAAAGATCTACATAGTCTGTAGAGCTACCGAAAAAAAAAAAATATATATATGTATATATATATACATAAAATTTTGGGCTGAGATCTCTTCCCCAAAATTAAACCCTCGATCCGCTACTAATCTACTTGAAAGAAATTACCCCTCCCACCTTTTGAGCATATTGCTTAGTTTTGATTATGCCTTGCAGAATCTTTAAAATGAAATCATGTGATAAAGGATCTTTTGTAGAAAAATGTTCAGAAATAAAATGATTTTTTCTCATTTAATTATTTTGAAAGTGCATCCTACATTATAAGATTTTATCCTATAAAGTAAAGTATATTATATAGAAAGTATAAATAAAAAAAAGACGATTTTTTAAGGAATTAGTCTTGGAGTGCAACTACTTAAAGTATTAGCATCATTAGCCCAGTCACTCAACAAACTTTGGGCATAGATTAGTAAGAGATTCATAAGGTAGTCCAGTCATCAGTTTAGTATCTGTAATGTTATATAATTGTTACCTGTAAGGTTTATTGAACTCTCCAGTGAGTTATATTTTAAGTGAATTTTTTTTCTGCATTTACGCCTTACCTCCACATTTCTGGCCATTCGGGGCACCAGCAGATCCAGGATTGAATTTTGGTGGAGGCTTTAGTCCAAAAGCTTGTTTTTTAAGATATATATATACATAACGATAATTAAATTGAAATAAAAATAAAAAAATTAACTACTTATATGAAATGGTTTTTAAGTGGGTCTTGAAATCCCATTAAATTTAATTACACGAACAAGAATACTCGTTTTAATATTTTTTTCAGTAAAATATGGTTATATTTTACCATTTGAGGGAGGGCTTCAGCCCGAAATCCTCTCCTCTTCCCTGTGATTGGGGAGAGGGGGCTGTTCTAATTGTAATACAATTTCTGACTATAGTGGGAATCACTAGCGGTTCCAGGATTTAATTTTGGGGGGGCTTCAGCCCGAAAGATTTTTCTTTCATAAAAATAACGATAATTACTTCGGAAAAAAAGAAAGAAACTAACTACCTATATGAAATGGTGTTTAAGTGATTCCTAAAGCCCTTTTGAATGTAATTACACGAACAATAGTACTTTGAGAGATAATTTTTTTATGTTTTTTTTCGATAAAACATGGTTATATTTTCCCATTTTGGGGGGGAGGGGAGCTTCAGCCCGAAAGCCCCCCCGTAGATCCGCCCGTGGTGGGAATGACGAGATTTATTCCATCCAGGTCGGATTCTTACCGGAGCCGCTAGAATTGAGAATGTTAAAGCATGTAATGCCTCAATACGCTCAACCACTATGAAATATTAGAAAGGCATTAAAACTCTGATCCCCCTAAATAAAATATTGAGGGATCTATTTTCTTCCCGACAGTATTTTTTTTTTTGTTTTTAATTTAAAATACAAAATACTTTTGATATTTTCATTTGAAATATTATTACACCAAGTTGAAGTGGCTCTATCCATCCAACCGCCCCCTGGACTTCCTAGATGCCTTTCTATACCAAGCCATCAGAACTCAGCGACCTTCGTATATTTTTCACAGCCTACAATTTAAATATTCCATTTAATCCCGTCCCACTAGATCCCATGCTTCTGACCTCTACCCACTTCCTCACCGAACTGCTGCGTTTGACAAATCCTTTATAATTCAAGCCGTCTCCATCTGGAATACCATCCCTCCCGATATCCGACATGCGCGATCAGTTTCCTCATTTAAATCCCTCCTTTTTAACCACCTACTTATTTCCCAACCGAAATGATCAAGAAAAGTAGATAAGAGAAGTTTTTAAGTCTCCCAAAATGATTTTGTTTACTTATATTATTTTATTTTCATATGTTTGTATTATATTTATCTGTATATATTTAGTGTTTTTGTTTTAATTTTCTTCCAATATTTTAATTTTAATAAGAATTGTAAATATTTAATTTAATCTTATGGCCACACAGGCATTTTCTCTGTATCTATAATTTGTCCTAAAGGGACAACAGTCCCAGGATAATAAAAATCTATTTTCATTTCATTTGAAATACTTTTTCTGTAAACAATTTTAATACTTGGTAATTGATATTCAGTGTATTTTAAATAAAAAAATTACATGATATTTTTTGTCAGATCTCCATTGTCATTTCCAGGGAGGGGGTCAACTGAGAAATCCCCTGTTGATAAGATTGGACTAGTCATCTGTTTACCCTTTCATTTGCGAGGAAATACCCTACTCAGAACCTTATCACGATTCGACGGTTTCCTCATGAATGACGTATTTGGGATATAGTTGCAGCATATTTAAAAAAACAACAACAAATAACTATAAAACGACTATTTCTATAGATAGCTGTTATGAGATCCATCTATGATTGTAACTTTATAGTATGCATTAGTAGAGCAAAAGATATTTATTTTTTTATTTCAATGAAAATGTTATCAATATTTAAGAATTGGAATATCTACTATAGAGTCACTAGCGGATCCAAGATATAATTTTTTTTTATGGAGGGCTTCAGCCAGAAAGATATTTTTTTTTATACACAAATAACGATAATTAATTTGAAAAAAAGAAAGAAATTAACTACCTATATGAAATGGTGTTTAAGTGGTTCTTTAAGTCCTATTAAATGTAATTACAGGAACAAGAATAAATTATTTTTTATTTTAATGAAATTTACAACTGTATTACATGAAAAATACAACAAGTAAATGTTACATGTACAACACGAAGAGAAACTACCCATTGGTAGAACTCAAATTAAAGTTTTATATTAGAAGGTCCCGAGGCCATCTTCTTTTCAGACGCCTCGGAGGGTTATCAGGGATCGAGGAGGAAGCAAGGTTTGAAACGAGAAGGTTCGGATGGTTCTGCAGTTTGTTATGGAAGGAAGGTATCTGGATCGGGCCAAATCGGAAACATATGGAACATTAAGGTCTTTCTGGATGATTTTATTTGTGACAAAGTAATGAGCGTTCAGGATTTTGGATTGGATACTGTTCGACAGGGATAAGAGGGCTGTTGTTGAAGGATACTGTAGGACAGGAAGTCATAGGTTTACGAAGAGTGAAAGTAATTTGATGGGATTTATTTTAAGCCTCCAGTTTTGACACCATTTTTCAAGACTTGTGATGTGTGATTGAAGAGTTTGGTATGCAATAGATGGATCGTTATTAACTGATAGGATACATGTGTCATCAGCAGAGAATAAATTAAGAGATAGTTTTTAATATTGTTTTATGTAAAACATGATTATATTTTACCATTTTGAGGGGGCTTCAGCCTGAAAGCACCCCCCCCCCTGCACTAGCGGATCCAGGATTTAATTTTGGGGGGGGCTTCAGCCCGAAACCTTTTTTTTTCATAAAAATAACGATAATTACTTTGGAAAAACAGAAAGAAACTAACTACCTATATGAAATGGTGTTTAAGTGATTCCTTAAGTCCTTTTAAATGTACTTACACGAACAATAATACTTTAAAAGGTATTTTTTAAATTTTTTTCCCAGAAAACATGGTTACATTTTACCATTTTGGGGGGGGCTTCAGCCCGAAAGCCCCCCCCCCCCCCCTGTAGATCCGCCTGTGTAGAGTCATAAGAGCTATCACAGAACCGCTTATTTCGACAGATCGTTTATTATCCCATTCCTCATCCCTATGGAACTCCACATCTGTCAATCCAATACTCTTCCTACCTTTAAATCCCGCCTGTTCAATCATTTCTTATCCATCCAGTCCCCATAAAATTGTAAATAGATACTACTGTAAATATGTATATAACTTATTAGTTCGTTCTTTATTATTTTTACTTCATGTTTTTTTTATTTTTTATTATTAACTGCTCAAAATTAGAAAGTAACTTATATATACATATTTTTTATTACTTTCACTCACCTATATATGTGATATATGGTAAGAGTAAGTATTGTGATCATGAAAATTTTTGAATCTGAGTTTTCAATGGAAATACAGGTTTGGAGGTCCCTGAGTCTAAATAACCAAGTTCTGCAAAATGGTGTGTGTGTATTAACAGTCTAGGTTGAAGCCTCTTTCCCCCAAAAATAATGTTAAAAATAACCATGTTTTACAGAAAAAAATATTAAAAACTATCTCTTAATAAAGTATTCTATTTTGTGTAATTATATTTAATAGGACTCCAAGAAACACTTAAACAACATTTCATATAGGCAGTTAATTTCTTTCTTTCTTTTTTTCAAATTAATTATCGTTATATGTATATGAAAAAAAATAATCTATCGGGTTGAAGCCCCCCTCTCCCTCCCCCGAAATTAAATCCTGAATCCGCTAGTGGACTCCGACAATATTATATAAATATACATATGTGGTTTTCTTAAATGCTATTGTTGGTATTATTTAATGTTTAATTGTATAGATTACAGTGATATAAATATTAAAATTTGTCTATATGAAGGTACTTATACAAATAAAAATACCCACAATGAAATATAAATAAATATAGACTCAATCATTTTTACTTTCACTTCGCTTTGTCTGAAAATACTTATTTCTGCTAAGAGGGTGGTAAGTGAAAGTTGTGTGATGCATGCACTGCACCAGATTTTTTTATACTTTGACTATTTAATCACTCTGTATTTTTATTTTATGTGCCTCTGAGGTTCCTTAGCACACATTTCTGTCTTGCTGTATAATTCTAAAGGGACTCGTCCCAGAATAAATAAAGTATTATTATTATTATAAATAGAAGGCAGAATTGCAGATAAAAAATTATAATATGTAATTGATATAAAATGTACAATACTTGCTTTATTGTTATTTTCGGGTCAAATCTCGACAAAATACTGTTCAATCTTATTTTCAATAAACCTCTGGTTTAGAAAAAAATATTTATTTGGCAAAAAGCTGGAGTATGTGAGCAATATTCAAACAATTAGTACTGGCCTAAGGAGTTAAGTGGGTTCAAATATTTTTTTAAGGAGGTACAAAGTTGAGATTTGTATTTCGCACCAAAAAAAATTCTTAAATATCAATTTTCATACCAATCGAAAAATACAAAGGCTTTGCTCTTTCCACCTAATCTTAGATTTTTTTTTATCGAAAATAATTAAAAAATAAATAAATAAACCTGTACCACTACAACCCATGAAGGGTCTTGGGTTCAGTACTATTTTAGTATTTATGATTTCGGATTAGTCTTGAAAATAATCTGTAGAAGCATAAATACATATTGATAACAAATGGAATGGATTTTCTGGACCCTTGAAATAATCTTCACACCAAACACTCCATCTTTCCATTAGGAATGATTATACAGTTACCTCAACAGCCTTTATCTATAACAAAATAAGTTGCACAATATCTAATTGTATAATTTACTAACCTTTCTTCATCATGTCTTTAAAGATCCTTCCCTTTCCTTCTACTGTAAATCAAGCAGGCAACTAGTGAAAATTTCAATATGGAACTTACTGCTTAGTATAATATAGATACTATTAAAAGCTAATATTGTGAAGAATTTTGGAATCCATGATCACATATAAAACAAGATAGTAGGAAAATAATGTTATTGGTATTCGCACTAAAGATCCAGATTCATTTAACCTTGTAATAATGAAAATTTAAACTAGAATACAATATCAGTACGGATGAACTGAAAAAAAAAAAAAGTATTTAGACATATATTAGATCTATAATTGTATCTCTCTTTACATAAATGATTTTATACATACATTAAAAAAATCACAGACCAAGGAATTTTAGTATTTCATATGATATTTCTAAAAAATAAACTATTATCACAATAAAAACCTTACATTTACAGTTTATATTTAATATACATAGAGTATTTCGTATGAACTAAAATATACATATATATTTTTAAATAAAGGAAGAGTCGTTATCATTCTTCAGCGAAGGTCATCTGATTCCAGATTTCTCCAGCTCATCAATCAATGCTGTCAGTCTTTGTCTTGACTTCTTGTTATTTTGACAAACACATGATACCAATGCCATTAACTGTTTTACAGAATATTCCTTGATGGGGGAAAAAAATAATAATATCATTATTGTATCTGAATAACAAGATGAAAAGAATAAGCTTATCAAATAAAATATAGTCAGCTGATTATTGTAGCATAATCCGTTCAGACAAATAAAGATCAATTTATTAATTTAATTTTTTTAATTTCTTACTATAACAGGGTTAAGCTTCTGGTAATTTTAAACATAAGATGATTTTAAAATAAAGCTTTACTTAAAGTTGGAACAGTGACAATTTACAAACATTTGAATAGTTTTTAATTTATATCAAGAATATTTAAAACAAACAAGAACATTGTTCCAAAAATGAAATTTCCTGAGTTATTAAAAATTTTTCAAGAATTAATAATGATAAATAATGTGTTTTAGATTTTCCCTTTTTATAAACATAGAGAGAGTAACAAAAAAAAAAAAAAAAACAGTGACAACAACTTTATAATAGGTTGTCAAGATTTCTTTCTATTTATTCAAAATGGAATAACAAAAAATATATAATGAAAAGAAAATCTAAAATCAAGAAAAAGTAATCCTAAATGCTCTAATTTAGATTTTTTTTTTTTTGTAAAAACAACATTGTAATGTACAAATAAACAAAATTGCAGAGGATAAAATATGCCAAGAAATGAACATAATAAATAATAATTTAAATAAGGAAGGAGATGATCCGGGGTGGCGGTCATAAATAGACTAAATAGTGGCAAAACTATTTTATTAAAAGCACTATTTTAAAAATTTATCAAAAACTTTAATATAATTTTTTTTAAATTACATTAAAAACTTCAATATACAATTTTATTAAAAACTATTTTATTCAAGAGGCTTTTAATAAAATAGTTTTGCCACTATTAGTTTATTTATGGCTGCTACCCCTGATCATCTCCTTCCTTAATAATACAACGGTCAACTATTAAGTATTCAACAATTTAAATAATTAGTCGAGTGGATAAATAAATTATTTCACCTACGTAAAGATATTCATTCATCATGATTGGTCATTTATTTCCAAAATGAAACCTGATCATCATTGACAAATTTTCAGGAAATGCGAAAACCTATATTTTCCAAAAAACTATTATCCTTTATCTCATAAAATAATTACTATGTTTACATTTCGCATTGGTCTCCTGATTAAAATGAATCTATGCTATACTGAGAAATCATTTATTTTAAAATAACGATAGCACAAACAAATGAAAAAACATAAGTATGGAAACTTTTCTTACCTTATGCTCCTTAATCCAGGATTCTAAGTCTTCTTCCGGTTGATAATAGGCCTTGATATAAGCTTCTACAAGATCACGATATGGAATGGGTCGTATGGTAGTTATTGCTTCAAGCTTAGAAATAAGTTGAATAAAATCAAGCTGCATAAGTGCTCGTCCTCCAGTTGAACACTTTTTTGCTGATGAAAAGCTACAAAGGATGAACAGTGAATGATTTAAATTGAAAGTTTAAAATGGGACACATTAAATTGGAAATGCTCACATATTGGTGGATTCAAACAATAAACTTGTGAGTACACTCTTATACAATTACTATAAAATGTATTTAATCTATCCGCTAAAAGTAATGTAATAATTTTTTGAGTGAATGGCTGGACCGATTTTTAAGTTTGATGGCTCAAATTATTGTATAAAATCTGTTTGATCTCATCTGGTCCCTAAGCAACATATGTCTGTAATCCCGATTCGTGATAAAATTCAGCATAATGGTAGGATTGCGTTATTAGACCTCCTGAAACTCCTTTTTATCATTGACCTAAGTAAATTTAATCAGTTTTCTCAAAAAATATGTTGTCGACTTCAAAATGGTGTACTTAGAAATTAATTATCTTAAACAGTTTTCGATCAATTCCTTCTTATTCAATAAAAAAAACACAAAATTTGTCGTAACTCCTTTTCAGTTCAGAATTGGCCCACGTATCAAAATTACAATTTTTTTCTTGTTAATTTTGTCTAGAACCACCGTCCGGAGTTTGGCCATTAATAAATGAGACACCCTGTATACATTACCAATATTATTAATTTAAATTATAATATAAATGTTAATGATTCCATGAAATCAACAATTCATTTAATACTTTTTTAAGATTTTAAGTAACAGATACTCAGCAAAATGGCAATGAACTTTATATAATTTTTTTTTTCATAAACTACTAATAATGATAATAAAAATTAAACTTACCCTTCCACTAATAAATTGGATAACAAGTAAATCAAATTATCCCAAAGTGATTCATATGCTTCTTCTGGAATGTGTATGATATTTCGCAAGTTGTCCAAGCGTTTAACAAACTGTTGCAATTCCTGAAAATGAATTATAAATATTTAATTGAATACTTAATAGTTGACCGTTGTATTATTAAGGAAGATGGTCCGGGGTGGCGGTCATAAATAGACTAAATAGTAGCAAAACTATTTTATTGAAATCCCGACTTTGCAGGTCTTCTTAAGGGCTAGAACGGACAAGATATAGAGAATTGTGGAAGTTACATCATATTTAGATAACAAATCATAAACAATGTGAATAAACTTATTACAATTATAAACATTAAGTAAATTAAAATATAAACAGAGCAAGCTAAGTAACAAGATCCTAAACTGAAGTAAATAGATTGTAACAATTGTAGTATAATATAAAATATAATATATGCAATTGTGAATATACTCCGACAGATCTACAGGAGAGATTGGAAGAAAAGGAACATGGATATAATATGAAATAATGGACATAAAAGGATGTGGAGAAAGAAAAGAAAAAAGAAGAAAAAAAAATTATAAGAATAAAAATAGAGACTTACAGGTGTGTTCAGCAAGGAGTTTCATATGGAACTAGAAAACCAGGGCGAGTATTGGGGAAATTTGCTGACCTGGTTGGGGAATGGTGAGGGGGTAAGTAATAAAAGTAAAACAAAACCTGAAAATTACAATATCTAAAATTTGAAGATGTCGATGGATACAAGGGAAAATACTAAATCTATGAAATAAAAAATTATAGATAGGTTTTGCCACTATTTAGTCTATTTATGACCGCCACCCAGACCATCTCCTTCCTTTATAAATATTTAACTATAGGGGAAAAAAAGAAATTTAACCCTTCATAGAACTTTGTATTCTTTTGCTTGAATTAAAAAAAAATTAATGAAACAGTTTCAGGAATCCCTATTGAGAAAAATAAAAAAAATTATTATTTAATTATAAAAAATGTATGCTAGTAGATGCGAGGCTGGACATACAACTAGTGCTAGTGTCCACACATACAACTTTTCTACCGATTTACAAGTAGAAAAAACAATTGAATTGGATGAATTTTCCTAGAAACTGAAGAAATGATTAGAGTATGATTTCTTTGATATACTAAAACAAACAAATTCAATTTCGTGTAACTGCTAAAATTGGTCAGATTTAAACGATTTTTTATTTTTTTTTTAATTTTATCGGAAATATAATATAATGCTTCACTGGACTCTGTGGCTGGACACGCAAGGAGTCTTAGAGCCCACAACTGGATGGCAGCAGCATTAGAAAGAGACTCCATTCGGTTGCTTATTGAGGAGGCCAAGACATGGTAACGTGCTATAGAGCCAAGTGAAGTAAGTAAGTAATATATTGTTATAAAGAATATTATTATGAACAACAGGAAACATAAAACTGGGTTGACTCTCACTCACTATAGTATTGGGACTAAGGGTGGAACATACACGACCCACTTAAACTTCAATCAGCTAGCACACTTCATTTAATATTTCTATAATATAATAATATCTCTTCATTTTTCCTCATATCAAACAGCCCTATATCACCGCACCAAGGCTCAATAAGGGTTTTTGAATACTATTTTGCAAGTGGAAAAATTATGTCCTATCGTCCTATTAATGGTTAAGAAATATTAATAATATAAATAAAAAATACTCACCCCAATCAAATAATTAACATAACTACTATGTTCACACACGACATCTTTAACTTCCCAATCCACTCTTGACATTAAGTCTAATACTGCTTTATCATTAATAGCCCTCCAGGCTACATTAGCGTAAACCGGTTTTCTTACTTCAAAACTAACAGCAATAGTCTACAAAAATGAATAAAAAAATAAAAAATAAATAAAGAAACTGTATAAAAATTTATTGTACATATAAAGTTGATATATATACTTACGTGACTATAAAACTGCTGTAAGTTATGTAAAGTACTACCCTGCGATTGAAGAAGTTGTTCTAAATAGGGTTTTAAATAAATGAATTCTCTCGACAGAAAAAGAAGTGATTCAACTCCAACGACTCTTTCGACTAACCCAAATAAAGTGTTAGGAGAAGTAAGATCTACCAACGGAGATACTTGAGCTTCGTAAACCTATTAAAAAAAACAAATTTCATAAATTGCAAGAACTTTTTTTATCTATAAGATCCAAAACAAAACTAGTTCACACCTTAAATTCGTGTTCTTCTTCGTCATCATTCTGTATGATTAGAGTATCCTTTATCCTCTTTAGAACGGATTGCAATTTAAGCGATGAAACATTCAACGAAAGGATGCTCTGAGAAAAAATAAAATAAATGCTCAAAACAAATGAAATCACTTAACTTTTATGTTATTACTATAAAATTAACAATAAGCACAAAGTTTAAATTTTTTTTTTTTGGTCAACATCAGAGGTTCATTATTGAAAATATCTAACTAGAGAGATAACTAGCCTTAGTAGTTTCGATAGAAACTAAATGGAATTTCCAGAAAATATATATTTATAATAGAAAATAGAAAATCAAATTTTTATTTTCAGCTTGATAAACCAAAAATATATAAAGCATACAATATTCATAATTCGTATTAATTATCTTAAGCTTCTATTCATAATTATAATAACAATCTTAAGGATTATTAGTATAAAAAAATTAATTTCTACTAAAAGCAGGATGCTGAGTCAAAAATGATTTTTTTTTTCTTTTAATTCCTAAAATTATGCATAATTATTTATTATGTGTATTAAATACTCACAGGCATATTTGTGGTAAAGAACGAATGGACAGTATAAAGATAGAAATCAAATAACTGTGTAAGAGCAGAAACAACTTGAGATGCAATAGGTTTTAGATATTTTGACATCTGCAGATATTTTCCACATAAACGTAAAACACTGACTGTTGTATTCGTTAGCAATGGTGAACCACTTGCTAAGTCTCTTCGGCCAACTGAGTCCCTTAAATTAGAAATAAATAATTTATAACAACAATCTAACCAAACATGAAAAAAGAGGTATAAGGCTTTTATTTCAGAAAAAAAAAAAAAAAAATGGCAGGATACCTTCCATTATTTGCAGAATTAGTCAAAAATTCCATCTCTTCTTCACTCTCTTCGCTGAAATAACCAGAAGGATCATCCTGTAATTCGAAATGATAGAATAAAATATCATCATAATAAGGATAACAAAAATTAAAATTTTTAAGTTTAAATTTAAGGAGGTGGTCCAAGTCAGTCAGAAAAAAATATTGAATAACGGCTTAAATCGTTTGAATTCACTCCCGCCGTCCTTCATACACCGCCGAGCTCCTTCAATTTAAATTCTCTGTCCACTCAATTATTATTAATGGATTAATTTTTCTTTTTTAAATCTGTTATTTTTTTAATAATAAAAAAAAGAGATGAAAGCTTTTGTAAATGTGTGAGGAGTACTCTAAATGTATTTTAGAAGAATATCTGTAAACTAATGAACATAAAATTTTAGAACTGTGATAAGCTCTTTTCAGGCGAATGATGCAACTATCTCATCTGTTCTTTTGTAGCAGAGTATCAGTAAATGATTGATTATAAACAATAATAATAATGGGCTATTTCAATAATACAAATAAAAATAAACCGAATACTTCTTACTCCTATGCTTGCTAAAATTTCTTCTTGGTTTGAGTCCATCTGGAAGTTGATATCAAAGGGTGTGGCTTTTGATGGATTCGGGTAGCGAGTGAAAAAGTTGGCATCAACTGAACCATTATCAGAAGAAACGTTCTGTTTAGAATCTGCTCCTGCACACTGTTCCAGGCTACAACGAAGTCCCCTAAACTCCTAAAAATAAAAAAATATTAATATTAGATTATAATTTTACATATAATTTAAAAAAATTAAAATATCTACACTTTAAATAACCTGCCATTTTTTTTTTTTTTTACCTGGAGATGCAATATAGAAAAGTCAGTTCTGACCGGGCAAGGCGTCCAAGCTTCATTTTCCAGAAAAACTTTTAAATCATCCAGTTTAGCAGCGTGGTATGTCTTAAAGTATATACTACTTTGCTTTCTGATAGAATTAGCAACTTCTTCAGAGCCACTACCACACAATTCTTCTCCGATCAAGGAAAGCCTATATTTATAATGAAATGATTAAACGAAAAAAATCATAGGGCCAAAATTTATACAGTAAAAATCTGCTTTTTCAAAAATTCTTTACTTAAAACATTCATTGTCCAAGAAAAGAAAGAAGTTGAAATATAAAATAAATAATAATTTATCACACTATACAGAAACTAAAACTGAATATCATTTTAAACCCAAAACAAATTTTTTTTTAGGTTGCATATAAATTAATAATGCATCATACATTATAAGAAATATATAATATTAAAAAAACATCAAGTTGATACAGTGCTCTTATGAATAACCAACTTGAAAATGTGTAAAGTAATATTATTATAAGGTACGAGATAACTTCTTAATTAAAGGAAAAACTCATGAATATTAATATTCATTGAAAAAAAATCCTTAAAGGTTACAGAAATATAAAGAATAGAATGAATTTAAAAAAGTATATTACATTAAATTTGTCTATTTTCACTTAAATCATTTTCCAAAATATCTATATGTTAAGATATATATCATAATAGATCCAATTGTTAAGATGTAAATACGAAGCAAGCTTAGAAAGTTAGAGAACCCAATTTTTATATTGTTTGAACAAAATTTTAATTTAAAAATTATATGATATTGAATTTATACATGTTAGCAAGTTTTGAGCCGTGGAACAAGCTTTTTGATACCCTCATAGAAATATTCTGCCACCTCCATTGTTCTCTTTAAGAACTCTGGTTTCACCTTCTCATCGGTTGAGAAATGTTTTCAACTCTGGTGTTTTTTCCTTCTGGGAAAAGGAACCTTATGTGCATCACGTACTTGGCGAGAATTCTAATCGACATATTTCATAGAAATGGTACTAACAAGGATCACCGCTGTCCCTAGTTTTCATAAGAATCCCTACTACCAATCAGAGTTGCCAACTTATACAGAAAAATTCCAAAGCAAGTGCCTAATAGGAATCTTACTTACTTCCTGGACATGCCTTTGTACAACTTTTAATATAAATATCTATTAAAAAGAAATTGTGTTTAAGTCGGTATCACAAAACAGGGTACTACCATACTAATATCAAAACCCAAAGAAATTCTACAAGAACAAAAATTCTCTGTCTCATATTCACTATAAATCTAATACTTATAAAATTATTTTCTATTCTATTGTATTCTAGTAAGAGTGAATGTACCAGTTATATACAGAGGGACCAGTGTTGGACAGTTTCTATTTTAACTGTAAATAATAAGCTTCCTTGTTGATTTAAAGGTTCCAGTTTTTTCTAGATTGAAGAACAATGGCCTCTATTGACAATTTTATGAACAAGTTCCTAAAAGAAAATTTTAAAATGCCTACCACTGTTGTTTCTATAGTGCTTTTGAGATCAGTGTGTTTCATACCTTCCTACTAACAGTTTTGCTAAGAGTAAGTTGAACATTTATGTTATCTTATCTTTATAGTTAAATAAAAATTTTAGAATTTTTCTGAAGTCTGTCCATTACTGGTACTGACCCCCTGTCCATTACTAGAACAATTGAATTTCGGGATTTCCATCACTAGTGCAAAAAGGTGTTTTTTTTTTTTTTTTAATGGAGATTATACCTGCATAACTGAATATTTTTTTCAATTTTAAAGTGTTAAATAGAAAAAGGAGACCCTAGAAATTCTTAATGTCCAAAGGAGAAGTTTATAACTATAATAATTTTGGTAGAATAAGCCAAAAAAGAAAAAAAATTCCTCAGCTATATCCATCACTAGTGCGCTTAACCTAATACAAAAATACTTTTTATTTTTTCTGTTGGCATTACAGACCTTGCAGATCTTTAGCCACATTAACAAGCCTGTTCTATGTCTTCCTATCTTCTGCTATTATGCCCAAGTGCTGCGTTTGATAAATCATTTTTAATACAAGTTGTCTCCCTCTGGAACTCTATACCTTCACATATCCGACACGCAAAATCAATATCCTCTTTCAAATCTCTCCTCTTCAAACCCCTCTTCCATTCCCAATCCGATTGATCACGAAATGTACTTAAAAACCTAAGCTGTAAAAATCTCAAAGTACATCCAGAGACTCTGATTATTTTGTGATTCATCGATATTTCGTTTACTTAATTACTTTCTCTGTATATTTTATATTTCCACATTTTTATATCTTTTCATTATTTATAACGTTATTTTATTCCTAATCAACCGGTAAATATTAAATTGTATTTTATGGACACACCAAAATATTAATATATATTCTGTATTTGTAACTTGTTCTAAAGGGACACTAGTCCCAGAATAATAAAATTATTTTCAGTCATTCATTCATATTACTTGCCAGTTATTTATATTCAGCTATATTGCATCTTTTTTTATTCATCTATCCATCTCCTTTTTGGCCTTCCACATGGTCTTTTGCCTGCTATTGAGGCATTCATTGTTACGTAGAAAAATATTTAAAAAAAATAAAATATAATGTCTATTCACTCTTAAGTTTATGCCTCACGGGTCAGTATAATAAAAATCAAAATTAGCTTCTGAGGCATAAACTTAAGAGTGAATAGACATAATATAAAGATCAAAAATTTTAAAATTATGGAAAATAAAATAAACACACTTACCTATGCAGAATAGCAAGGATCTGTAAGAAATCATCAAATTTATAATTCGATAGATTTCCTGCTAAAACCAAAGCAGATACTCTCATCTGTACATCGTGCCATAACCTTGCGAGGCCTTGGCTAAGCTTCTGTTTTATTGTTTGTTCATTGTTACAGCCTTCTAAATATGTACCTATGATATAAAACATTAAGTTAATTTTCAATTAATTAGAGAAATCCATATATTTAATTCATAAAACCTTCATACCTTCATTAGTGAAAGGATTATTTTGGTGCCAGAGAACTACCTGATTATAACTGAGAATAATACACCATAAGGATTTACAAAGTAGCAGGAGGCATGGAATAAAACTTTCTTCAGATATATCCTAGAAAATATTAAGATTAAAAACAAAATTACCAAAAGAAAATAAAAAAAGAAATTTTAAAATTAATTTATATAATTGTGGGTTGATGGTTGACTGTAGTGAATAATAGAAGAGAAGGGTGGTTGGGATGATCAGTCATAATTAAATAGTAAAAATAAATAATTGTATTTATTTTCACATTCGCCGACATTTCGGCCCGAAGTTCAGTCCTTCATCAGGGCTAAGAAAAGAACCAGATAATAATAGGTATAAGAAACATAAACATTGAATAATAAAGAATTAAAGGTACTTTTTGTCTAGCGGGCAGGCATTGACTGCTATCTGCCAATGTTTATAACCTCAACACTGATAATTCCCATAACGCATTGATAAGCCTTCTCCTACTTCATATCTTCGTATTAAATTTGTATTATTGAAAGTGTAAACAGATACAAAAACAAACACTTCAAGAAGATATGTACATATAAAACATCAAAATGAAATAATAAAAAAACACTTGAAGAACATAATGTAGATATAAAAGATGAAAATGAAGTAATAAAAAAACATTTAAAGAACATATTTACATAGAAAAGAAAAAATATCAACACTATGAACAACATATGTACAATTTATTTTCACTTTGTCTTATTTATTTTGGAAGGCAAAATTGTTTTATGCTATTTAAAATAGCGAGGAATGGGTCCTCTTCTCTGTGAACCCACTGCCACAAAAATTCGCACAAATATGAATCTGGTTAACTTTATTCGATGACCTCGTTCACACAATTTCATGTCTGCAAGTATCCCAACATTTTGAAAATATTGAATTGCCTGTTCTTCTGAAGACGGCAAATCCCATATTCTAAGAAGATCCATAATATGAAGAAAATAAATGGAAAAAAAATGAAAAATAAACACAAAGGGGCCACAAACTAAAAAAAAAAAATGAAAAATAAACACAAACAGGCCAAAAACTAAAAATAAGGAAAACTAAACACAAACGGGCCAAAAGTAAAGAATTTAATAAGTGAACGTAATAAGGGAATAACTGAAAACTAAACAATGCAATAACTCAAAGGTTTGGCGGGATAAGAAGAGGGAGATTATGTGATGTGACGTTAGATGAGATAGATAAGAAGTGAGGTTTCGTGCCGGCCCGCTAGACAAAAAGTAGCGAATTAAAATATAAAAGGTGTAAGGTATAGACTAAAAAATGTAAGTAGAAAAAACTTAAAGTAAAATGGAGTAGATAGAATGAACATTAAAGTAAAATAACATAGGTAGAATAATAACAGTAACAGAGAGCTAAGAAATAAATAATAATAACAGTAACAAAGCACGGATCAATGAAATAAACATGATGAAAATAAGGTAACATAAGAAATGAAAAATGATTATCTCAGAATAAAGTGTAAAACAGAGAAAAGAAATGTGAAGTTATATAAGGAAATAATAAATAGAAAATATAAAATTAAGATATTGTAAAATCTATCAAAAATACTGACTATGTATAACAGAATAAAAACTTTTTATTTTGACTGATCACCCAAAACATCCTTCCCTTCAATTAATTTATATAAATTTGAAACATTTTTACTTAATTCATTTCAATGCTTGAAGGCTATCTAGAGAGGTTGTGTCTTTCGAATCTAAAACCCTGAACATACAGGATTTTAACACGATTTAATATATGTCATGTCCTTGCCTCAATTCAATAGTTATGGGCAAACAATTTTAAACAAATTTATTTTTGAAAACTTATTTAAAAATGTACTTTTGTATTATTTAAATCTAAAAACAAATAAACTGAACACACCAAGTTAGTATTTTATTTGACTTTATATATAATATACAAAGTTAATTAATATTTCATAAATAAACTATTAAATCTTATAATAAAACAGAGAATAATTAGTTACCTTGCATAGCTCAGGAAATTCAGTCTTGTTAATATAACTATCACTATTGACATTAATTTGGTAAAACTGTGAGAAATCTACATTAGTAGTATTCTTTTCTTTGATAAAAAAATTAACAACATTAGAAGCGGTGCTATGCACGGCTGAAGTGAAATGCATATGAAGTTGATCCATTGCTATTTGGGTTTTTTCCAAAAGAGCGTAAGCAGATTGCAGTTTTTTATAAATTGCTTCATCGAACCCATAACATATCTGAAAAAATAATTGATTATTAAAAAAAGATAAATAAGTAAATTAAAATCAATGCAATGCAAATTTTATTTTTTACAATCTTTATAGCATTTTATTTGTACTTTAGCTGAAAGCTAAATACTAACCCAAAGATCAAGACCCAGAAATGTTTCAGAGATTGGAAGAATAACTGGTATAAGTGTATAATAACTAAAGTGGACAACTATGAAGGTGATAACATTGGTGTAGATTAGGGATGGTTATTGATTGTCGATATTATCGAAATAACCATATTTTACAATCGATAGTATCTACTTCGATCTTGTTCTTAGATATTTTAATTTAAAAATTAAAACTACCGTTTTTGGGAAGCTCTAGAAATTCTATATGAATATGATTGTTAAAAAAAAAGTATACTCATCTTGCCTGTTTCATGGGAAATAGAATGGGCGTAATAGAGGAAAATATCGATATATAGATAATATCGACTATCGATATCCATCCCTAAGTAGAGTTGAATAGCCTGTGTGAGGCTCTTCTCATTCAGTTAACTCAATTCGCCCAATTTGATAGTTAAAATCTTCTCAAACCAAGGCCACGATTTGTCAAAGAAATCTATGCAAAATGCAAATAAATTAGCATTTCGCTGAATCCGACCTATGGGTGAATGGAAGGCATAATTGGTTGAATAGAAATTTCTGGAAAAAACTGTGCTAGAGAATCAATCAATATAATATTCATATTCATACTTCAAAAATGTTTATAATGTCGAGGAAAATATTAGCTATCGATATTTCAAGTTTGATAAAATCAATAGTTATAGGAGGATATTAATATCAAAGATAATATTGATATTTGATCTTCGATATCCCATCCCTAGAGTAGATATATAGATATAGAACGATCAACAAAATTGGTTTCAAAAAATGGCAATTCCTGTAACTTTCTTTTCTTCTTTCTTTAAGTACACACCTTGTACTTTATATTTTCTGTTAAGGATTTAACTTTTTGGGATATATTTTAACAAATTAAAAAAAAGAAGATAGTACTAAGCCCTGTACTTGGGAGATATTCCTTCTGCGACATTCCAGCAGAACACCTAACCTGGAATTAGAAGGCTATCTAGAGTTAATTCTTGATCTCCGTATCTCTCTTATTATTTTTAGTAACCATAAGTTCTGATGGTTGGTTTCCCTCAACTTGCCTCAGCAAGATCCGATAGCTCTTTCGTACTACTTGCATTTATATTTTTATTGAAACGCCTGTAGGTTGGTTCCCAACAGTCACCTTCCTTTCATTTCCTATTAATTACCCCTTCTTCATAATTACTCGATTAATTTCTTTCTCTTATGGAGACAGAGGTTTTAAGTAATGTTAACCTCATCAGCACGTGTTTTATAAATATTTTAAGATTTTAATCAAAACATTCAAAGATTTTTAATGCATAATAATCAAGTTTCTACAAATGAATAATTTATTTAAAAGCTTTAAGACATGGTTTACCTTGGCTAGTGCCACGTCGAGGTGCTCTTCGGTCATAACTAAGGTGTCCTGTAATTTGCCACACAAGCCAGCAACACAAGAAAACTGTTTGTGCATTGCTGCAATGCCATGGCAATCCAGAAGCAATGAAATAGCTTCAGGAAAGTTCCCTATATTAAGCAACTGTGGCATCCTTGATTCAGTTTTATGCTGCAATGTGTAAAAAATAAAATATAAAAACATGATTTAATGATTGTTTCTGAAATCAATTTTGTGTAGTATATATTGTCTTTTATTAGACAATTTTTCATGGGATAATTCATAAAATAATTGAGCAAAGTGGGAAAATTTATTGTTCATTTACTAACAAAAAGGCTTTTTAAGGAATTTCGATGGTATGGCCCAAAGCTATTGATCACGAGTAGTTATGTTGACATAACGAAGAAGAGTTTTAATGGTAACATTCAAATTACAACAGTTTCTATTATTTTTTTCCCCATCATATCAGACAAATTAAAATCTAAACAGAACTATGATGAAACAATATTTTAGGATAGAAATAACAAGAGTATTTATTACATTTAAATATCATAATATTTATTTATATTATTATTTTAAATTATATTATTTACATTTAGTGTCTATTTTAATGTAAGTACTGATTCACTAATCACCTAATGGTAAAATATTACCTCTTGTAATTTTATCACAAACACATGATATTTATTTGAAAAGTGATCGTACTAATAACAACCAAAACTGTCCTAAGAAATAAAATTAAAATCAGAGATGCTCCTTCGTTTCTTAAAATAATATTTAGTCATGTTCTTTCTATCACAAGGCTGACATTTAATATTCAAAATAATGCAAGAAACCATCATTTGTTGGGCGTTTATTAATAAATAATGGTTAATATTTTATAGTATGGACATAAGCTATCTTTATTATTCAACTTAAATAAACTAGGCAAACTGTCATATATTAATAAAATAATATTACAACTCCCTCTCCCTAGTAATATAAATGAAAACAGTTGAATTAATTAAATTTCAATTTAATAAAATTTTTGATGAGCTAGCTGGCAGTATCAGTGAAATTCTTTCTTTAGAAAGCCAAAATTTAATATAATTATAATAATTTTTTTTTTCAATCATTCAAGTACACAAGAATGTAAAAACACGAAAAAAACAAAACAATAATTAACATGTTAGCTGCGGTTACAGTCCCCAGGGTTCGATATTAATCTCGAATACCAAACGGGCAGGATTGTTTCGAATTTTGTCTATCAGACAAAGTCTTTAAAATGGTAATTTTTTAAAATATTTGAATGGCAGTTGGATAGATGTAAAGATACGAGTATAAATAATCATTATATCTGATAAAAAGTTTTCGGACATTGGGGACCGATACCGTACCAGGCTGATAAAAAATTATTTCCCTTTGGTATCAGCCCCCGGCGTCTGATACATATCCCTACCGTAGCAGGACAGTGCACATGCATGGTCTTGTCATCTTTGGGCTTCTGTCATGCAGTAGGTCTTGAGAGTTCATCTTAGGCTGTTCCCTTTGCTTATTTAACATGTATATAAATAAATAATAAATAAGATACATATAAATAATGTGTAAATTATATCTTGAAAATCATATTTATATGTAATAAATAAACTTTTTCTCTTTTTTTTTTCTTTTTCATTTTCAATATTTAAGATTTATATCCCTAAAAATAACGCTTGTTTACTAAAATAAAGAGAAATAGAAAAAAATTCATCATTTAAATGGCATCGGACGTCGGAGTCCACTCCTACGATTGCTGGCCATTAATGAGGGCTCAATCAACAGACCGAGACAATGAATAGGGAATTTAGTTCACCTTTGTTGTCAAAAAATAATAATGGTATACCTCGAAAATGATGCATGTCTACGCAGTCCAATGGCGTTAGGAACTTCTCATAACTAGTGTCGGTCGCCGGGGACTGATATTGTTAGGAAAGACATTTAAGAGATATCATGCTTAGCAGCTAACGTGTTAACTGTTTGTTATTACTAAATTTATATCAATACCAACTTCACTGTTACCTCATTTAATATTCACATGATTAGTAAGCGAAAGTTTAGGTATTTTTATTCTCATTTAAATCCAAATCTTGTATTATACTAACATTATTCGTAACATGCAATATAACAAATTGATACTTTTATTTTATTTTTTAAAGTGATGGATGTTTGGATGATCATCATAACTGTTTTATGATATCTGTTTCATATATTACAATACAGATCCAACTGGTTCACTAGATTCAAAAGCAGGAATTAAACTTGAAAAAGCAATATGGATACATTCTACTGACAATGAAAACTAAATTAATACTAAATTAAACAAGTAGAATTATTAAATTTTTGCCGACTTATCGACTCACTTTGCAGGTCTTCATCAGGGCTACAAAAGATACAAAACATGGTGAAAATAAAATAAATGAATATAAGTAGATATAAAACAAGAATAAGTTGTCTGATACAGAAATAAAAAGATGATTTCAGAGATTATTAATAAAATAATATTATAACTCTCCCTCCCTAGTGATATAAATGAAAACAGTTAAATTAATTAAATTTCAATATTTTTATTTAACAAAATTTTTGATGAGCTAACTGACAGTAAAGTGGGCAGTATCAGTGAAATTCTTTCTTTAGAAAGCCAAAATTTAATATAATTATAATAATTTTTTTTTATTAATATATTTTCTTTTTATTTCTGAATCAGACAACTTATTCTTATTTTATATCTACTTATATTCATTTATTTTATTTTCACCATGTTTTGTATCTTTTGTAGCCCTGATGAAGACCTGCAAAGTGGGTCGAAACATCGGAAAAATTTAATAATTCTACTTGTTTAATTTAGTATTAATTTGACCGCACCCCCTCATCAACTCTTTCTCATAATATATCAACGGCCAACCATCTCTACATCATTATGAAAACTAAATTAGAGGTTTGAGTGAAAACAAAGTAAAAAATAAAAGAATTCCAAAGACATTGTTAAAAATGAATTCAAAATATCAGCAGTAATATTGAAATTATTTTCAGTGAAAATTGCACACAATGCTTCATCTGTGGAGAAAACTATTAAATTAAATAAAAATAAAAATAAAGTTAAATCCTCTTACTAAAGTTTTTATTGTATTTAAAGATTTCAAAAGCTGTTTAATCAATGTTCTTTTTCTATAATTCGCCAATATACCAAGGCTAGCACTTGTAAAATGCTGGGAAGCAATAGAAAGATTTCTCCTTCCATTCATAACTCCTTTTAAAAGATTGTTAACTTCTTCCTGCACCTCTACTATCCTAAAAAAAATAATTTCTTTTTAAATATTCAAAATTAGAATAATTCAATACACATACACACACATTAAAAATGTATATTATGCTAAATAAATTTAATTATTCATTAGCCTTTTATAATATGTACCAATGAAATATACAAAAAATTGGGATAATTGAAGAGGATGATTGGGATGATCAGTCAAAATAAAAAATAAATAATTATATTTATTTTTAAATTTGCCGAAGTTTCGGCCCGAAGTTCAGGGCTTCATCAGAGCTAAGGAAACAATGCTTTTTATTGAAGCATCAAAGAAGGCTATTTATTCTTTTATATATAGTCAGAATATTTTGATAAATTTTACAATATACCAATTTTCTATTTATATCTGTTATTTCCTTACATAACTTCATATTCCTTTCCTCTGTTTTGCATTTTATCCTAAGATTACCATTTTTCATTTCTTATGTTACCTTATTTTCATCATGTTTATTTCATTGATCCGTGCTATGTTACTGTTATTATTACTTATTTCTTAGCTCTCTATTACTATTATTATTCTACCTACGTTATTTTAATTTAATGTTCATTCTATCTACTTCATTTTACTTTCAAGTTTTTTCTACCTAAATTTTTTAGTCTGTACCTTACACCTTTTATATTTTAAATCTTTATTATTCAATGATTATAGTTTCTCACACCTATTGTTATCTGGTTCTTTTCTTAGCCCTGAACTTCGGGCTGAAACATCAGCAAATCTAAAAATTTATTTTTACCATTTTTTATTTTGAAAAATAAACCCAACCATCCTTCTCTTCAATTATTCATTACAGTCAAACATCAACCCACAATTGAAAATTAAGATACTTTTAATTTTTAAACAAGTCTAAGAAAGTCTGGAATCAGCTTGTCAGATTAGAGATTAGAGATCGGTTCTCAACGTTACACAAGATGACTTTGAAGATTAAATCAAATTGCACTAAGAACAATGCTTGCTGATAAAGATCAGTTCAGTGAAAATACTATAGAAGATACAAACAACTTAGAAACTGAACATAAAAATATTTCTAAAATATATTACAACAAATGAGTTCATACTTGCATATAAACAAAGTGAATACAATTGTCTCACACTGAAATTGTACTTATTGTTGACAACTGACTATAAATGATGGATACAGATGTACCAATCACGAAATTTTTTTTACAAAAAGGCTGAAGTTAAGAATGAAGGTCACTGAGCCTTCTGATATAAAATAACAGGATGGTTATTTATAATTATAATTAATATGAAGTATGAAACAGGTATCAGATCAGATTTAAATGGCCGAGCAACTAAATAAATTGGAGATTGGCTGAAACAAAATTAAATATGTATTTCTCTGTATCCTACACTTTATAAACATAATATTACAGCAATTAATTAATAAATCATTTTAAGTCAGGGCCTGCTATTGAACATGATTGTCAGAACCGATTCCTCAGAGTTTCATCTACAATATGCTCAGTGTTTTTGAAAAACGCTAAAATCTTGGAGTGGTTGTTTGGAACTAAAACTAAGAGATATCTTAACATTCCATTCCGACTAACCTATTGAACTCCTCTTGGCAGGAAGATTGTTTTTCTAAAATCATCTGAAGCACATGATTAGAGACAACTTTATGCTGCCTTTTTATTTGTTCTAATTCTGACTGTACTTTGGGAACATCAGTCAAATTATCCAGTTTCTGAAACAAATATTTATATTCACGCATGGTCTAAAACTGTACTAAAATTGCACTTAATGACAAAACTGTGGCTTACTTCAAGTTCATAACGCTTGGCATCAAAATAGTCATCGGTACTAAAAAATTGTTTGTCAATTGTTTCAAGTATTTCTTGGTCTGATGGTCTCTCCACTTCAGGTTGTTTCTTAATGTTTTCATCATTGAAATCTTCTTCCAATAGATCATCAATGTCAGAGGATCCAACAACTGGTATTCTTGGTTGTGCCTGGAGTTTAATACAGATGAGTTTATATTTACATGCAAATCAGAACACAAATAAACAAATCACAGCTAAGTACCTGTATATTTATAAAATCAAAAAATTTAGATTTTATATCCTCCATTTCAAATAACAATCATAATATAAATAACAATAAACAGCCTAACAAATTTGGAATTCCTAGTTTGACAACTTAACCTAACCGTAAATAAATATAGCAATATACGTAGGTAACTTCAAGGTTTGTAGTATTTGAAAGAAGATGGAAACACTACTGTGCTGCTATCTGTAATTATTGGTATCTTGCAGCAAAATCTTGGTAATGGCAGGGTTTCCATTACGAATAGACAGCTTTCTCTAATTAATATACATTAACTGTAACTTCGATGTGAATTTGTAAAATAATATAATTTTAGAAAATCATTTTGAAGACCTACAAAGTTGTTCGAAACGTAAGTATACGAAAAATACAATAAGTGACACAATTCAAGTCCCGACCAACTTCTCAAAATAATTCTGAAAAGATTGATTTATATTAACAGTTTTATATTTAATGATAATAATACATGATGCACATCGGATGGTTCTCAATTTGCATTCAAGCACAATGTTTTTTTTTTTTAATTTCTCGCGCTTAACCAATTAAAGAAGTAAACAGGACAGGATTGTAGGCGCCTGGAATGAAATTTTACTAGGCACTCCCTCAATCCTTCCACATCAGACTGTGGCTTATTTTCTCATATTATCGAGTTATACAATTACTAGAAATACTTAAGAAATTCCATCCACGACTAATTATTATTTAGAATCTATAACAAAATAGTAGGAATTTTTATTAAAACAGCAACTGAAACTTTGGTTAGAAGAGAGAGAAATACTTTATTTAAAACAGTGCAGCCCTACTATATAGGGTTGCTCAATACCCAGCATACTCATCAATCTTTTTTTGGACAAAACACTTAATTATACTTGAATCACACATTTATATCTACAAATAATTTCTGAGTGACAATTGGTCAATGAAGGTCTAAATAAAAATGAAATGGTTTGAATCAGACAAGTGAATGTAGATAAAAATAGCACTGTTTTCAGGAGGATTATAACTTTTTTTTTATACTTTTCCCTGATTTGTGGCGCCCACTTGGTCGCTGTGTACCAGTGCCCACTCCAGCCTCTGCACCTACACAACTGTCTTGGACGTAGGTAGAATGTGAAAATCAGGGACAGATTTTAAACAAAAATAATATTTTTCCAGAAATATATATTTTTTAAAGTATTAAATCCGGAATTTGATTTTTCTAAAGAACTTTCTAAGTTGATTGTATCCTTCATTATCTTGCTCTTTTATTATTTTAGGAGTATTGAGTGCCAACCTCTCGATATATTTACCTTTCTCTTTGCTAAAAGGCTTACACGATATTACTTGATGTAGTGGGTGCTCGATTTCGTCACCGATCTCACAATTTGGTATCGCCATTATTTTTATCAAATTTAAGAATTTATTCGTATTTCCAAGATTGATTCTTAACCTGATTAAATTTATCACCTCACTTCTTTCAAAACATATTCCAATAGAGGCAAACCATGGTTTAAAGAGGTTTTTGGATGGGTTAAAAAGTGGTATCTCTCCCTTTGCTTTGAGATTCCCAGTTATATAAGTTCTGCCATTCTTTATTAAGGGGTTGGAAGTTTTGAGGGATTTATGAATATTTGGAGGTAAAATTATTTTTGAGGAGTTTCAATCTAAATGAATTTTCTAACCATGGAACAAGGAAAAACCCATCGAACAATAAGTGGAATTGAATATAAACTGTTATGTTTCTAATTTTAATTTCGCTTTCTCAGTTTTAAAGAAAAAGAAAGCAATACAATTTCTTATGTGGGGAAGACACCTGCAGCATCGACCTTTGATTTTTTTCTGTCTTCACTAAACTAACAAATTTACTAAAACGTTTCTTCTTCTTACCATTTTTTAAGTGTATTTATGGGAATTTTTTTATTCAAACCTGTCATAACGGTAATGACAACCAGTGAATGTGAGGTCGATTTCAAAATATAATGTCATGAAAGGCATGAGGAGGATCAGTGCCCAGCGGCACCTCACTCGGCGTGATATCTACATTATATATAAACAAATATATAAATGGTTATTTCATTATGCTAGTACTTTTGTTTCTTGTTTTTGATATTTCCCATTTGCTGCCGATATCAATAGTTTGATTTCGTGATAATGCCGCTGTTAGTTAAGTTAATTTAGAAAAATGTGTTTCCCATAGTTTGTGAAATGTCTGATTTTAGAAGTAACGTTTTCGTCATTGAGCGCATTTGGTATTCAAAGTATTTAAAATAGTAATTAGAAAGAGAGTTCAGTAATTTTTCTTGATTCTTCGTTGGTTGTTGTTGAGGTCATCAACGCCTAAATCCCTGCTAGTAACAATGGCGAACGGTTGAAGAAGCCCATCAAGTTCCTTCAGTTTCTAGTTTTTCTAAATTGGAACCCATTTGAGGACCATAAACTGCAATCCTCTACTGGTCACTTGTTTATTTAATGGAGCATCTCTGCAAAACACTCGGTAATATAGAACGTTGAGTTCTGCCGCGTGGTTACGTCTGTCTTTTTTTTCCCCTTTTTTTTTACAACTCGTACTGAATAACCGAAATTAATGGGTGTAGAAAGGAATTCATCCGAGACCTTCACTGTATTTTTGACCTAATTTACAATTTAGAAAAAAAGTTTAAGATTTTGGCAAAGCAATGCTAATCCTTATTTTTGGTCACAAGCAATGGACATGAAGCGATTATGTTAGATCAACTATTAGTAATTATTTCCATTTATTTATTTTCCTCTATGTCTGCTCAAGCTATATGAAAGTGCGTAAACAGAGATTGGTTGTTTTGGCATCAATAAAAAATGTACAACGAAATTTCTAAAAACAATTTAGAACAGAGTTACCTAAATTTTGGTTTCTCTTACCGTTTTTTCTATTCTATCCCAGGGTTTAATGAAAGAGCTATCTTTTCATAAAATCAAGGATAGGAGGTAGTTTGTAGTTGCGCAAGAAAATTCGTAATTCAATCATTTCAACATACATTTCCATGGAAAAGATTTTTTACAGGGACTGAATAGATATTTGTTTAAAGATTTTCATTACAACCGAGCCAAGTGCATCATTTCTCTATGTTCCATTTTTATTTTTATTTTTAAATATCGAATTATTTTTAACTGAAAACAATAAAATTTAACGCTTAAATCTCCTTACATATTACGTTTTAATATTACTCATATAACATTTTATTTGTTTTTTTAGAAGTACTTGCTAGTTATCTAAAAACAATAACTAAAGTCCGAATTTTATATTTTAAACTTAGATAAAATACAAAAAAGATTTAAAAATCTTAAATCAAATGCGTGGTAAACGTCTTCATGACGAGTTTATGTAAACATACATTCTTTCTCCAAAAATAAAGGATATTAAATGAAGGATTCGCTACTATGTTTAAATTACGCATCAAAATTACCATTTTTGTTGTAACATTTACTTTTATTTCTGTTTTATTTTCATCTAAATTAAACTTGAATCGAGCAGTGAAAGATATATCTTTTGATACGACTTTCCTAACTTTATTTAACGAATAAATTTAGATTCAATAATTCATTTAAGGCTTTAATTGAATTAGTGTACGTAGTTTTCTGCCTAATTCAATTTTGAAGAACACACCATGTTGCGTGAAGATAACACGACGGCGTTATTTAAAATAGAACTGATAAAGAAAGAAAAACTGTGGTTTTCTGATAATCAATTTAATCGGAATTATGCTCGGTGAAGATTGAAACAATTTTTTCTTAAAACTTATTACTTTATCATCTGCATTATAGCTTATAGGGTGTTTTCACTTTTTTAGAAAAACTTTGAACTAATATTAAAATGGCTTATGTGTCCTGTTGACGTACATATTTGTGGGGAGGTTTTGAAAAATATGGCCGCCTCACTTTCTCAGTCAGAGCATGTTGCTTAAATCACGACTAGGTTGTGCATTCGAGTGATTTTGAAGTTTTTATTTTACAGAAAGTTTATTTAAACCGTTGTTGCCAGCAAAATGAGTGTGGATGCTTACGGCCCTAGTTCTCAAACGTTAACGTTTTTAGATACTGAAGAAAGTGACCTTATCGGAGCTGATACTCAAGGATCCCAATATGATTTTACCGATTTTACTCTGCCTTCACAAAGTCAAACCCAAACATCTCAATTGGATGGGACTTCAAATCCAATTCAGGTTGTGTTAACATTACAAAAAATAATATATCTAACTTATTGTTATGTGGCGGTTATTATGTTATGGTTAACAAAATTCAAGTTAGTATGAACCAAGTGCCTACGAACCTGTTACGTATTTAAGTGTCTAATTTATATTCTCTAACCTGCATTATAACCTTATTTACAGTCATTTGTTTAATTTTTTTTTATAAAAATAATTTAAGGTTTATCTTCAATGTAATTATTCAATTTGTGGATTGCTTTAAAATGTGTAGAAATGTCATTATATATATAGATTATTTTCATTGTGTAACAATATTTATGCCAGTAAAACCTTCTACATTTTTTTGTATCCAAGAATGTATTGAAAACATTTTAATTTGTGAGTGTGCTCAAATGAATGATTTTATATGATTAATAAATAAAAAAAAACCTGGAAGGATAGGTTATTTTTTTATGGTAATGAGTTTTGAGTATATGATTGGTGTTAATAAGCAAACATGAATATATTTACTTCTTATGTAAGTTGTATTTAATAATATACATTAATCAAATAATTTATTTAGTTTAACCATTGTTTGTTTAATATGCTGCATTGCTGTTCTCTTTGTTGTCATTGTTTGTTATGGGTAAGTTCCTTAACTCTGCGCTGAGTTCATTGATGGAATAGTATTCGTCTCTAAACTGGATGTAATGTTGCTATAAATGAATTCTGTGCTTAGTTTAGGAACTTGTCCTTTCAACATTATTGTTGAAAGTGATCTTAGTAGTTGAATGTTAAGTTTACTCAAAGTTGTTTTTATAAAATTTCAGGTCAATGGTAAACTTAACATAGATTTGGATGGGGTAGTTTCTGCCGCTACACAAAAACTTGGTGAACTCCAGTTTGAAGAGGAAGAAGAAGACACCTTTTATAATAAGGTAATATTTTATTCATAGGATATTTATTTGTTATTCTTGTTCATTCTTAAAAAGTGAATGTTTCAACTGGGTCCACATTATTGTAACGATTATCTGGTTAATTCATTTTGTAATTATTTTTGCTAACTTGTAACAGTTATTGAGCAATTGGTGTGGGCCCATCTATTTTACGCAATGTTTTGAAATTTTCATGCATTTAATTAGAGGATCAATTTTGGTGAAATTAACATAATATAAGTTAAACACAATAAACTATTGATTCTAAATAAATAATTAACAAGAATAACAATTTATTATCTAAAACCCTTATACTTTTTATTGTGATTTACTTAATTGAAAACTTTGTTTTAGGAACTTCCATTTTATGCTTGTAAATACTGTGGTATCCATGATCCAAGTTGTGTAGTAATGTGTAATATATGTAAAAAGTGGTTCTGTAATGGGCGAGGTAATACATCTGGATCGCATATCATCAATCATCTTGTTAGAGCTAAACATAAGGTGAATGTTATTGATATTTGTCGTTTCATTTTGTTTTGATTTTAATGCATAGTTATTGATTTACTGATAATATAAATATTAATTTCAATTGTTTTTTTCATACAGGAAGTTACCTTACATAAAGATGGGCCACTGGGTGAAACGATTCTTGAATGTTATTCTTGTGGAGTTCGCAACGTTTTTGTATTAGGATTCATACCAGCCAAAGCAGACTCAGTCGTCGTTCTACTTTGTAGGCAACCGTGTGCTGCTCAGAATTCCCTGAAAGATATGAATTGGTAAATATGATGACCTTTGTTTATGTTTTGGTACATTATTATAGTATTCCCTTGTTATAATGTCGTATAACATAAACTCTTAAATTTTTGGTCCTGTTGCTAAAAATAATGCATATCTTGGCTATTGTTAAAAAAATCTCCGGTTAACATGAATCTCAAACGATTTTAGACAATGTTCTGACCATGTTTTAGTCCAACACTATCTTATTCTAGGTTCGAATATTTAGTAAACCATTCTCTATAACTTATCTTAATCCTGTCCTTTTAAATTATTTTAAGCTGCACATCACTACATAAAACACACTATTTCAATAAACAATTAAAAAATTCAATTAATTTTATTCTAAAAATTGGTTTTACCAGGAGTTAAACTCTCTAGTAATTATTGTTATAAAAATCTACCCATAGATCTGTTGATTTTAAACCCAAATAAGACATTTTTAAAATAGTACCCTGTGGCTTAATATTAAAATAAAATTATTTGGAAATAACAGTGTTCCTGAATCAACCTTCTCCACCATAAAAGTACATCCCCACATATATTATTACAGTAAGGCTCGAAATCGGTTTTGTACCAAATATAAGCTCCTGTCATGCTCAAATACCATGAATGGTGTACCGTTGGATTCAGAATTTTACGGAGGGTTAGCGAATCGTATTCTCCACTTGTTTTTTGTTATTCTCCGCTTTCTAAAATAAATAAAGTCTATACAAACATTTTGCTAGGCTTCAATACTGGAACGGTGGTAGGTCTGTAGACAAATTGGACCTTGAAGATTTTGATACGTACAGCAAGACCGCGATAGTTCCTCCGGAACTTTCAGATTCTACGTTTTTAAGCCCAAAAACATACTGTTTTCGAGATAACGCAAGGCATGGGGTTCGCATCCACACAACCTTACATTAATTGTAGTACTGTGAATGAATACATGTCTCATTTTGTCGACTTGAGGCCTTTATGATCGAGAGAGGAGGAGTTTATATTATTTATCGATGGGGTTTTTGATCTGCAAGCCATGTCATCGTTAATTCTTCACCAAACTCAAGATTAAGCCACCAATTTCAAAGGCTTCCTTCTCCTTCAGGCAGGCAAAATAGTCCAATCACCCCAAAAATTCAGGCAAACAAGTTATGAAAGAAAATAAAGAAACTTTATTCGCAAATAACTAAAAAATTACACACTTTTCCCTTGGTTATGCTCATGATTACATAAAATATTACTAAATTCCCTATAAAATGAAAAAAAAAATCATCGAAATCGGACAATTTTTAGCAAAGACACAGCTTATTGAAATTTGTAAACATGTTGGTTCCAAACATTAATGAAGATTTAAATTAATGTTTGTTTCCTTTGTTGATTATATTAATCAATAAAGTAACAATTGATTTCTTTATCTTTTAATACGTTGCATTATTTTATTTTCTTATTAATTTAGCATTTGAAAACAATATGCTGTGCGAATTTTTCGCACGCTCCTACTAGTTTGTAAATAATGTCATAAAGCTGTTGCACAGAGAAACAAATTGAAGTAGAATAGTAGTACAAAATACAACTCGTAGTACATAAAGTTAAAGCAGAATGTTGGCAGCGCCAAAATGAGGAGTTGTGATTTTTAATGGAAAGGCTTTTTAAGCAATTGTTTTTTCATCTCACGCTAGGCTCATACAAAATCTATTTTCAAATTCATTGATGTTTATTTCACTTCAAATCTAGCATTAATTCTTAATGTATTTTTTTAGTTTAATTATAAATGAATTTCCATTATCTTACACAACATAATATAATGTGTTATTAATTTTATTACTAGGGACCAGGAGCAGTGGAAACCTCTAATATCTGACCGTTGTTTTCTCTCATGGTTGGTGAAAGTTCCCGCTGAACAGGATCAGTTGAGAGCACGCCAAGTCAATGCTACTCAAATAGCAAAAATGGAAGAGCTTTGGCGAGACAATGCAGAAGCTACATTTTCAGATTTGGAAAAACCAGGAGTTGATGAAGAACCCCAGCAAGTCTTGCTTAGGTATATAAAGAAAAATATAATTACTTATTAAGAACATTGTAATGCTCTTTTTCTATGTGGTCTATTTTACTATCCCCATTATTGAAAAGACTCTTGATGAAAAATAATTTCTTAATCGTTTCCTTGAATTATTATGGTTGTAAAATATATCTCATATCTATTATCTAAAATTATTGTAATAATCATAATTTTTTATAATTTTAGGTATGAAGATGGATATCAGTATCAAAATATTTTCGGACCTTTGGTTAAATTAGAAGCCGATTACGATAAGAGATTGAAAGAATCTCAAACACAAGATAATGTTGATGTGAGATGGGATGTTGGTCTTAATAAAAAGATAATAGCTTATTTTACCCTGGCAAAATCAGATGGAGGTAAATTTTACTTTTTTGTTTTATAACTTTTTTTTCTCAAATCTTTTTCTCCATTAACTTTTAATTTACTTTATTGTTTAGAACATTCATATTAAAATTAGTTTGATTACTGGAACGTCTGTGTCATTTAGATCTTTCTATTTTAAGCCATTTCATAACTTTTAGCAATCATTAAATTTAACAAATTATGTTTATTAACCAAAAATAAATGTTACGAATGTAAAATCACTAAAGTTTACTCTATAATTCATTCTTTTCAGATATGAAATTAATGCATGGCGATGAGTTACGCCTACGTTACCTTGGAGAAATGCATAAATCTTGGTCAGGAGTTGGCCATGTTATTAAAATTCCCGATAACTATGGAGAAGAAGTTGGTATTGAATTAAAATCATCATCTGGAGCTCCTACTGAATGCACTTCTAATTTTGTAGTTGATTTTATTTGGAAAAGCACCAGTTTTGATAGGTGTGTTGGTTAATTTAATTTTTTTTTTAATATGTTTTATATTTTGATGGCAAATATGATTTAGCTTGTTATATCACAATTTTTTTATATTAAAATAAGAGTTAGAATCTATATTTAGAGATAGGAAGGTGGCGGTCCTATTTCCCAGTCATATTACTGCAGACAGACCACTGGTCCTCGAGTACACTTACACTCGCTCCTAATACTATACTTCTTTCCATTTCTGAATCGGAGGCAGTTAGGTTAATACTCTCTTCTCCTTGAATAAAATTATTATTAAACCTGAAATTAATCAAACACTCAAGAATGGCTCAATTAAGCTTTTATTTTCTGGACTTCACGATTGGATATTGGAATGTTTTGACTCTGTACAGTCCTCGGGGCACTTGAACAACTTCTGGAGACGCTGAACCATATAAAACAGATATAACTACACTTCAGGATATTAAATGGACTGGCAGACCCTGTTTAGATAAGAGAAACCACACTTTTACTACAGATGTGATAACAGAATACATCATTATAAATTGGTTTTATAGTGTCTGCAAGATATAAAAGTTTGATTATTGACTTTCAACCCATAAACTTGCAAATTTGTTTAATTAACATCAAGGATAAATTTTATAACACCTTGATTAGTTGTTATTCGCCATCTCAGAACAAGATAAATGCTATTGATTTACTTGAAAGGACAATCAGTAACTGCCGATCATCACAGCTGACTGTAATGCTTAAGTCGAAAAATAAGGAAGTTAAAGTACTTAAATCGGGAAGCATAGGCCATATGAAATAAGCTATGATAATGGACATTGATGAATAAACGTCTCTGAATCACAGAACTTAATAGTTAATACCCTCTTCCCTCACAAAAATATACACAAGGGTACTTTGTGATCCCCTGATGGATTTATATCTTCAGATAGACCATCTTTGTAAGTTCCAGGCATAAATCAGACCTTCATGAGGTACGAACATATAGAGGAGCAAAAGCTAATAGCAATTATAAAATTTAGAATTTCCAGTGTAAAAAAAAGAGACCACAGAACTAAAAAAAAAATGAATACCAATACCAACATGGACCCTGTGGAATCAGAAAGATATGTGCTGAAGATTGATCGAGAAATTAATCTCCCTATGTTCATCTGTGATAGCGTAAACAATCGAAAGTAATGCTGAAAAAACATAAGGAGTGTTATATTATCAAAGAAGAGAAGAACCAAGTAGTTTGATAAGGAATGTCAAAGAGGCACAGATGTTAAGAACTAGTTATACAGATCTATGATTTAAGTTCTTAACTACAATGAGATTTTTTTAAACTTAGAAAGCAGCAGCCTAGCATTCTTATAAAGGAGTACTGGAGGAAGAGGAAACTTCTTCATAACGAAGAAGAAATGAAATTATAGAGTGGTCCTACGTGGATGGTTTGTAAAAAAAAAAAAAAAATTATTAGCGAACCTGAATGTTTGATACCCACATCTCCAATTGCTGTCTTCATATTTCCATCCACTGGCCGCTGTCTAGATCATGTAACTGAATAAAGAGAACATTTATAATTTAAGCTTCCTTGATGCAGAATTTGATGATGTACTGAAATGTACCAATTAACTATGGACATTTGAATCTTCTTTTGATGAGAGGATGTCATGTAAAAAAAAAAAAAAAAAAAAATTGTCCCTAATCACTTAGTATCTTGTAAGTAGTTTTCTTTTATTTCTCACAGCTTTGCCGACAGGTCAAAATCAAGAAGAAAAAATAGGTGTTGATAATTTTTTTTTTAATCATTTGAGCTTTTCCAATACTTTATACTACCTCTCTTCTGCATATAATATGCTACAATATTCTTAGATAAATCTAACTAAGTTGGATCAATAAGTGTTAAAGTATAATGAAGAAAGCTCAAGAAACTTAACTTTCATCAATTTCTATATTCTGTTGAACAATTTCAGAGGTATCAAAAGAGTAAAAAATCTTGAAATTAAAAAAAGGAAATATAAATTATTACGTTTCTGTACAAAACCATATGACTGAAGATTTTACAAACTAAAAATAGTTAATTTTCAGTTCTATATATATATTTTTTAAATTTGTGTTATATATGATTTAATGTTAATGTTGTACTTTTATATTCTTATTATTTCAGGATGCAGTTTTTATATTTTATATTTTTTTTAAAATTTGTGTTATACATGATTTAATGTTAATGTTGTACTTTTATATTCTTATTATTTCAGGATGCAGTATGCGCTTCGCAAATTTGCTGTCGATGACGTATCCGTTTCAGCTTACATTTACCACCGATTATTAGGACATGATGTTGAAGACATGTTATTTAGAGTTCACCTTCCCAAACATTTTTCTGCTCCTAACCTACCTGATCTCAACAGATCTCAGGTGATGTTCAAATCCATTTAAGGAAAAACTGCATGTATATGTGGATCTTATTATTTTTTTTCTTGATATGCACCTCATAAGTATGTCAAATATTTCCTATTTATTGAAGTTTCTTTTTTTTAAATATTTCTTTAAATGTTTAAGGATGATAAATAATATTATTTGCAGTCTATATTTGTTCTATTCAGCTTGGCGATATTTTGAACTAAGCATGTGGCTCATCATCTGTGCTAAAATTAAAAATTACATTAGAAATATAAGATATAAACAGAAATACATAACATGTCAAGATAAAATATACACATTGTAATACGCCAAAAAAAAAAAAATAAAATAAAATAAATTGGACAATGAAATTGTAAAAATTAATAGTACAAATAAATAAAATTAATAAAAAGTATGCATACAACAACAGGATTAAGAATTAATATGTGATGTGTGATCTTTCTTCAGGAGCACAGATAGGCTGGAGAGACCCATGGTACAGTCTGTCCCTTTTGAGCCAAATCAGGCAGTGTCCTTTCCACAGTCTCTCTAGGGTTTAAAGACAGTGGCAAATCGGTCTAGGTCCATGGATAATGGCTATTCAAAATAAGCAGGCCCACGAGGAGCTACATTTCTTTTTCTGGAACAGACCGTCTATAGACTAAACCTCTGAGGAGCTACTGACATCCTTTTAAACCAAATCATGATTCCTCATTAAAACGCAATGGGTAGGGTCTTTATTCCTACTCCTTGTTGGTGTGAGTTGCCCTCAGTAGACTGACGAGTCTTACCTGAGAGGGAGAGGATCTCGGTCAGGGTGTGTTTTCCCAGTGGATGGTCACTCATCCTATTGTTTACAACATTAAACATTGCTTAACCTTGATAACCTAATACAAGCACCTTAGCTCGCTCTGATATCCCAAAAATTAAAAATAATTATAAATAGTAGCTTAACAATAGGTAATTATTAATCTTTTAGGTTCAATGACCCCAAAACATTGGCAAGGTGAATAAAACAAATCTAGACTAGATTCTGATTATCTCTTATCCTCATAATATTAAAATACATTTGTAAATAAATTTGTAGTTCAGTTATTTTATCTTATGTGATCCGCTTTATATTCATTTATCCCTTCTCCATACAATGAGTTTTCTAATTACTTGATTTTTTTGTATTTAGGAAAGTTTTTGAAGTAATTTTTCCTTTGAGTTAATTGCCACTACTTAAAATAAAGCTCTGTGTTGCAGGTTTACGCAGTTAAGCACGCGCTTCAGAGACCTCTGTCCTTGATTCAGGGACCGCCAGGAACAGGAAAGACAGTTACGTCTGCAACCATTGTTTTTCAACTTGTCAAACAGAACGGAGGTCCAGTTCTTGTTTGCGCACCTTCCAACATCGCTGTTGACCAGCTCACAGAAAAAATTCATCGAACTGGCCTCAAGGTTTGTTAATGTTCATCGATAAGTTATTAAATATTTTATATTATTAAATTTTTGTCTGTGTGTCACATTTTCTTTTCTTTTTTTAGGTTGTTCGTGTTTGTGCAAAATCAAGAGAAGCTATAGACTCTCCGGTTTCATTTTTAGCTTTGCATAATCAAATAAGAAAAATGGATTGGTAATAATTGTTTAATTTAAGCTTTTTTAAATTTTAGTTAATTACAGGCATTTATTTTTAAAACACTTTTTTTTACTTTTGAATTTTCTTTATAAAGTTTAAGATGTTGTTTACGTATCAATTTGTTCACAGTTGATGAATTTTCATTAATGTGCGTTTACATCAAAAATTTATTTCATGATTAATATTGAATGAAAATTAAATATTTACAAATAGTAGTGTTACAAGAATCTTTGATCAATTTGTTTAGAGGATGTTGTTGTAAACGGCACTAGGAAGGAAACTAATTGTTATTACTTCATTTTCACTTAGGATCACTTTTAATTCAAAAACACAATAATAATAATAATAATTGTTAATTAGTTTATAGTTTGGATGTCTGTTTTTATATAAAACAGAGATTCTTTTCAACTAATTTGTCACCTCAAAAAAAGTGATATGATTGGTTTATTAAAAAAAGTTTGTATTATGCTGTCAGAAGATTTTGAATCATTAATTTCTAATTATTTTTTATCATATATGCTTTTTGGCAGATATGTATGGTTCTCTCTCTCTAAATTTCTTGGTACTAATTTATTGATGTATAAAATGATTATACACGTATTATTGAAAACGAAAAGTTCTTTTTTTTTCATCCTTTGGTACAAAATAATCAGTATAAAAGAAAAAAAATATGAGAGCTTGTTTCATATATTGTTATACTATTTACAAAATTTTACTTTGTTTTTCATAAACATGATTATCAGACAACAGACATTTATCCAGCTACCTACTAGAAATCAGAAGAGCTGATTCTTCCGATTTTTATTTTGTATTTCTTACAGATAATTTTAATTTTGTTATGGAGTATTGTTTAATATATGTATCCTATTTTCTTTTCTTTTTTTCCTAACTTTATTTTAATTTTTGCAGTAATACAGAACTGCAGAAACTTCAACAGTTAAAAGATGAGACAGGGGAGCTATCGTCGGTTGATGAAAAAAGGTATAGAATGTTGAAAAAGTCTGCTGAGAAAGAACTGCTTGATGCAGCTGACGTAATTTGCTGCACGTGCGTCGGTGCTGGCGATCCTCGACTTACACGATTGAAATTCCATTCTATCCTTATTGACGAAAGTATGCAAGCAACTGAACCTGAGTGTATGGTTCCAGTTATTTTGGGTGCGAAGCAGGTAATTATAATTTTGTTTACCTGACTAAATATTGTTTAAATATTTTTTCATGTTTGAGAAAAGTGTGATTATTTAATTTTGTATTTCTCCTCTTACTCTGCATACATCTCACAAATGAAACACTATTGTGTTTGAAGTTTTTATATTTGAAAGTTTCTGGGATATTATTTCCCTATTTTGAACATTTTAGATAAATCCAACTTCATAACTTCATTATATTATATTAAAAAATTATTATTTTTGTCCATCATGTAGTAAACTTCAGTATAAAAAAATTGTTCCCTAATTTAGCACTGATTAAGATACAACTTTTTTAAAAATGTATAACTATGTTGATAATTAATCTGCAATGTCATATTTATTTTATTAATTCTATATTTTTTAGTTGATTTTAGTCGGTGACCATTGTCAATTGGGTCCTGTTGTGATGTGTAAAAAAGCCTCCAGAGCTGGATTATCCCAATCCCTGTTTGAGAGGCTTGTGGTACTTGGAATCAGGCCGTTCCGGTTAGAAGTTCAATACAGGATGCATCCGGAACTATCAAGATTTCCATCAAATTTCTTCTACGAAGGCTCGTTACAAAATGGAGTTTGTTCAGGTATTAATTGCTCAGTTATTTAAATTATTTTGTGCATATTTTTTTATGCATACATAGAATTATTAAGATTATATTTTCAAGAGTATATAATTTATCAGTATAAATTGGTTATTTTGAGCAAACTTCAAAAACCCTTTGTAAAAATTGATTACACTTTTATCTCCTTTTTATATCTGACAACGTTTTAGGCCAATTCACCCATTTTAAAGTCTGGGAATCATATATTTTGTAAAAACTAATTTGACAAATTTTCTTATATATTGTAAATCTTCTGATTTGTTTCTATGTGTTAATAACGCTTCCACAATTTTCCTATATTTGGTTATATAGTCTTATTCCTCTTCTATATCGTAGTTTCACTTCAAATTATTGATATTAGATTTTCAATGGTATATAATTTGTCAATATAATTTTTCTATTTCGAGGAAACTTCAAAAAACCTGTACAATTCACAAAACATTATTGCACTATTCAGAAGATTTACAATATGTAAGGGAAATTGGAGAAATTAGTTTTAAAAAAATATATGAGTTTTAGACTTCAAAATGGGTGAAGTGGCCTGAAACGTCTGATGTAAAAAGGAGATAAAAGCACAATAAAGTTTTGTGAATTCCAAAGGGTTTTTGAAGTTTCCTCGAAATAATAAATTTATGTATCTATTTGTTAATTTTATTCTCAAAAACAGATCCATTGTTTAGATATATAGTTTTAAAAACCTTTTTTAAAATGAAATCAAATGCAAGTATAGCGATTAATTGTTTAAAACGTTACAAAATTCTTGATGGAAGTTAAAAGCTTGGCTAAAAATTTTGCTCTAATAATTGAGTTTATACAATATTTGTATTGTTTTATATTTCCAACAAGGTCAGGTGATAATTTTATTTATTTATCTTTTTGGCTGAAATATTGTATTTGTCATTTATAAGTTCATAATAAAATATGAACTTTTTATGCTTGAATATATATATATAAAAAAAAAATTAAATTGACAAATATTTTTAATAGTGATTAAATCAATTTTACTCAATTGAATGGTGTATACCAGGAGTCTCCAAACTATGGCCGATGGGCTGGATCTGGTGTGGAAGCTCCTCCAATCCAGCCCACAAAAGTTTCTTTGATTAAACATTAAAATCTTAAAAAATATTGAATTTAGTAAATTACTCTAACACAAGGTTACTACAATTTTAAAAGATGAATGAAAAACGGCTTTTTTTTTTCATAGAAAATAAGTCATCAAGCTTATAATTATAAACTCTAACTATCAGGTATAATCATAACAATTATTATATTATCATATTTCTCCATTTTATTATTTCAGACGAACGAAAGTTGGCAAAAGTTGAATTCCCCTGGCCTGTTCCTGATAAGCCTATGCTGTTCTATGTTACTCAAGGGCAGGAAGAAATAGCAGGTTCAGGAACATCCTATCTCAACCGAACCGAAGCCTCGAACGTGGAAAAAATGGCTACCAGATTCCTTAGAGCAGGAGTTAAACCCGAACAAATAGGTGTCATAACCCCTTACGAGGGTCAGAGAGCTTATCTTGTAAGTCGATTTAAAAATTAATTAATTTATATACAAGTCTGTCAAAAATTATTATATTTTCATAGAATAATCTTTTTGGGAGAATTTAAAAATCAAGAAATAACTAATTGATTCTAGGTGATTTAAATTCTACTGTCTTGGAGTGGTATATTATCATGTTAGTCTGTTTTGGAACGTTAAATGCTAAATCTTTGGTCTGCATTCATGTAATTTTTTTTCTCTATTGAATAGTAAAACATTGACTTTGTTATTTGTGAGACTTTCGCTGCTTTGTAATCATCTAATATCATAACTTAAATTCCTCCGTCTCTTGAGAAAACTTTGTTCGCACCAAAAGAAAAATTAAAAATAATTTTGGGAAGCATATCAACCTTTCACTGTCATATCGACAAACCTGTATCTACAGCTATAAGAATTCAACATAAGACAAAAAAAGTATAAATTAACAAATTGTATTGAAAAATGTGATTTCCTTTTATTTATTTATTTTTTTCTACACATGGTTGCATGTTTTTATGAAACATTGGTTATATAAAAAAACCAAAATAGTTTTGATTTCATGTTGACTATTCGTTGATCATCAGCAATATATGATCTTTATAAATTGAAATAGTTTACTTATTTTATATGAAACATTTCCTATCTCTTCATATCTAATTTGTCGTTAATTAAAGGTGTTGAAATAGGTTTCAATGTATCTCTTAAGTTTTTCCCATTTTGTTTATTTCTAGTTTCATATGTTTTAAGCATGTACAAAGCACTATATTTAAAAATAATTATATTAGCAGAATCATTATGTAACTACTGATTGGATAATGGATGATTGGATAATTATTTTGTACGTTTGTAATTCAATTTTATTTGAGTTTTTAATTCTCAATAACTCTTACTATTAAATTTAGCATAAATATTAATACTTGCTATAAATATTAATACTTGCTTTAAGTTGAATTGTTCAAAAGCAAACTGCTTTTACTAAAACTACTTTATATTTTAAGTTAGCATAACAAAGTGATTTTATTTTTTTAAATTTGAGTAAATGAAAATTCTCTATATTTATTGCAATCTTTAATTATCCGTTATAATAAAATAAAAATTAAACTTTTGATTATTTATTTTTTTTTAGGTACAATATATGCAATATCAGGGCGCTCTTCATTCAAAGTTATATCAAGAAATCGAAGTGGCAAGTGTCGATGCGTTCCAAGGAAGGGAAAAGGATCTAATCATAATGTCCTGCGTTAGGTCTAATGAACATCAGGGAATAGGATTCCTCAACGATCCACGGCGTCTGAATGTTGCCCTTACAAGAGCTAAATATGGCATAATAATTGTTGGAAATCCCAAAGTGTTATCCAAGGTATTTATTTATATTCATAATTTTACTACTTAATCTATGAAAAAAAAAATCTCCAACTACATTGAGGTAGAATTTCGCTGTCGCTCCCATCTGTAACTGTTAATGTTTTTTTTTGTTAAATATAACTGATAGTAAGATTGTGTTGAAATATTATTTAAAAATTGAAGGTATATTACTGAAAAATAAATGGAATGAAGTCAAGACTCTTTTCACAGGTTGTAATGGTTAAGGTATTTTATTATTTTAAGGATGGTAATGGCTGTTATTTTTAAGATCATTTCAATTAAAAATAACATAAATTTGTAATAATATCACAATAGCTGATATTTAATCAGTACTTAGAATAAAAAAGACAATTTATTTTTTTAACTGTGAGCAGTGGCTAGCCAAATTCCAGGTTTAGATGGATAAAAAATGCTGATCTTTCAAACTTGAACTGATTCGTTTCTAAATGGTTACAATCAAATTAAAATTATCAAAATTTATCTGATTGACTATTATAATTTTTTGTTTTTTTTCCCAGCAACCGCTATGGAACCATCTTCTCAACTTCTATAAAGAACAAAAAGTCCTTGTCGAAGGTCCCTTGAACAATTTAAAGGAATCGCAGATTCAATTTTCCAAACCGAAACAAATAGTTAATACTACAAACCCTGGGACACATTTCATGTCGACAACGATATACGATGCCCGAGAGGCTATTGTTCCAGGCAGCATCTACGATAGGAGCAGTGGTACCAACAATGCCTCTCATTACTTCCCTCGACCTGGTAATGCTATTCACATTGTTCTTTGACTGATAGATTTTTTATTATTTATATTTATTTTGTTTTTAATTGGAATTAATAGTTCTGTCTAATGTTATGAATATTAATTATTTTAGCTGGAGGCGCTGTAGATTTATTTTCGAGACCACACGACCCAATTAGCTATATTTCATCCGAGCGTGGAGGAGGAACAATGTCTAACATTCCAGTTCCACTTGGTATGTTTATGAACATGAGTCATGTACCACCAAGATTTTATAACCAACACCAGCAGGCCCTTCAAGGTACATTATTATTCGTCTTTTATTTTATATTTAATGTATTTTCTTTTTTTTTTCATTATATCTTCCATCATGTGAAACAATGGCGTTGATAAAATGTTTTGTGATGTCACAATTGTAAGAAAATAGGTGTTTGTGGAATTGATGTCATAATATAAGATAAATGTATCACTAATAGAGAAATTTTAAATATTAATGTGAACCACATCTTTACTTTTGATCGTGAATCTTAATAAATGGATTTAATTGTCAGCAGAATTAATTTTCGGTCAATTTTTTTCTATATAGCCAGTTAGTTAATTATTCATGAAAAACTAGGAAAATTTTAATAGTGTATATTACACTAGTAATAGACACCCAGGTTGTAGGTTGAACTGGTTCGTTATAGAATTACTTACTTATACTTTTATAGGCGTTCTCCTTTAGAATCGTCTTATTCCACAGAACTGAGTGCAGCATTTGTTTGGCTTTTCGAGCTTATTCTGCTTTTCTCTAGACGTCAGTTCTGAGGGTCCAGAGGAGTCAAGGTAGGATCCCAGATATTTAAAAAATTTCTTCTTTCTACATGTCTCAGAGTCAACATGAAGATCAGTCATTTCCAGCACATATAGCCATGTATTCAGTCTTCCTCAAATTTATTTTGAGTCCTACAGAGAGCATATCATCATTATTTATTCTGTTATATTAGTCCTGGATTGACCTTTGGGTATACCCAGCCTATTGAAGTGGCCACTCTTAATTAAATAATTAAGGGGAAAAAACATGGCAGTTGAGCATAATGTCCTTCAAATCCCTTGTTCAATCAAAAACAGTACTTGCTAAAGAAATATTAAATCCAAGACCCACTCTGGACCCAACATGCACACTGTAGTGGTACAGATTTTGGTTTATTATTTTCAATAATGAACCATTGTAATCATCCAAAATATTACCCTCCCTCCCTCAAAATTTTACGTTTCACTGATATGTAGAATTCGAAAATCGAATAAAAAAGAATTGTTTTGTCCTCTGCTTTTCTCCAAGACTACTGGATCTAGTTTTTTTTTCAAATTTGGAATCACAGTCAAGGGTGGCGAAAAAGCTTGTGTTGGTATAGACTGTAGTACCTAAATGAATGACCAGTTTCAATTTGAAACTTGGCTAGTCTTTTCCTCGATAATCTTTAAATTTATCTATATAACGTACTTCCAATGAAAAGAAGCTGGAAAAAAAGTTATGACAACAAAGTTAAAATTTGTTGGAATCCTTAAATTTATTTAATAACGTTTGGATTTAAGTATATTTGAATTCGCTGTAAATATTGTTGGTGAAATAAATAATCTTGTTATTTCAACCTTAAAAAAATAATTTACTATTGCATTGTTTAAGTTTTAAACAATATTTCTTATAATTTTGCCAGACTTGAAAGAAACATAGGAAATAAAACGTATCGACGTGACTGTTATCATCAAAACAATGCTCTGATATGATAACATAACATAGAACCGCCAACAGTTCCACTGCTTCAGGAGGGGTCAGGTAGGAGCAGCTTAGATATGACATCGTACCTAGACTGCCGAGCAGTGCCAGCGAAATAGGTTTTTTTTTTCTATTTCACTAAAGCAGTGGTCCACCGCAAGCAGTCGCGGTCGTGGGCGGCGCTAGCGAAATGGTACCTTTAGGCCATTGGCCCTCTTCCATCCTCATCACATGCCCATACCACTTCAGCCTCACAGTTTCAATGATGTGGAGGATGTTCTACCTGTTATTTTATTTTTACACAGTTTGGAACTTACTATAAAGGCGAGAGACACCACTTTATCTCCAATTATCCATTTCTAGGGCCAGTAATATTTTTGATTGGCTCTCTTTCATTGCACAAGCTTCGGCTGAATAGAGACTAACACTTTTCAGGAACGATTTGTAAATCATTTTTTTTGGGGGTTTTTTTAGGACACTGTCATCCTCCACAGTACCGAATTTAAGGTTCTGAGGATTATCTTTCTGTTACTTATGTTCTTTTCAATATCTATATCTGATGTTCCTGTCCTATTCACCCCAGCTTCCTAGATACTTAAATTGAGCTTCAGGTTTCAACATCCAGTTGTCCAATTGTAGATATTCGCCTTAAATTTAAATCATAAATTCGCAAGACTAGGTCATGTCCCAATAGAACTAATTCTAATTAACTTTAGAAAATATCAAATTAAATTTTTTATCGGCTCATGCTTGCCAAATATGGAATTGATTTAGTGAATATTAATGAAATTGACATTTTATTATTTATTATTTTGTCTTTGCGCAGCCCGACAAAATCAACGAGGAAGACCAGGAAGCGGCCGTGTTAGGAATAGAACCGGCAACCTGAAGAATAAGCTGTCCGGCCTGAGTCAAAACAACAGCCAAGACGTCACTCAACCTTACAGCCAGGGAATTACGCAAGCCATGTCCCAGGTATTTATTAATTTTCAATCAGTGCACTTTATGGTGCCGTCAAATAGCAATGACTCTACCTTATTAGTTTATTATAATTTTAAAATTCAAAGTTGCTCATCAATAATTTTTATCTAATTGTATTTTTATAAACTTATGGATGTGTTAAATTAATATATCTCGTTTTAACAGGGTATGTCACAGGCTGGTCTTAGCCTGTCGCAAGCTGGGCTCTCCCAGGCGGAGCTGTCGCAGGACTCTTACCTGGTTGGCGAGTTCCAATCCCAAGTCGACGGCCTGCTGTCTCAGGACTCCACCTACCAAGGGGAGAGGTCTCCATTTTACACGCCTCCTACTGCCACAACAGCTCCTCCACATTTTTCGCAGGTATTTTATTAAGATTTAATTATCTATGATTGGATGCGTTCTCAGGGTAGTAATCACAATTTAACAAAGAAAAAAAAAAGAAAAGGATTCTAGTAAAATTCAATCTCTATTTCATAATTTGGGAGCAAGTTTTTTTGGTGAAAAATTTGACTTATTTACACAAAATTTCTTTTTTTTTTAAAATGATTTATATTTTTTGTTTTTAATTTTTTGATTGTATGAATATACTATACGTATTTATATAAATATTGGATGAAATATTTTTTATTAATAATTTTTATTTAGTGGTTTTTATGCTTCTTCATTTTGTTTTTACATATTTTTGATAATTATTTATTTATACTTATTTTTATATTGGCAAACCGAAAGTGCATCTTCATATCATCGATTTATAAAAATATATAATGCATCAAATTGTTTTGACTTGCTTAAAACCTATTTTATCATAGTTGGGAGACCCTCCTGGGGTGCACCCAGCTGCTGTAAAGTGGGTACTCTTAGGAAAAATAATTAATCAAGGAGGAAAACCTGGAGGTCGAGCATGATCCTGGCCAGATCACTCACCTCCATGTAAAACTGTTAGCCTTGGAACAGTACTTTATCATAGTTTGTTTGTAATTTTAAAAGACAAACTACTGAACCCTGGGTTTTAGTGGTGTAGGTTTTTTGAAAATCATAGTTTCGTGAGTAATGAACGCATGTCGCTTAGAATATTTCAAGTCGTGTTTAGGGGTTGATAAAAGATATGGTAATCACCTTTATTTACTCTAAACATGTTATTAGATTTTTTATTAACTAGCCATATTTTTGTGGGAATTGTATTATTCACCACTCTCTGTATGGATGATCCTTCTTAAGGACACTGCGGTCTTTCCTCATGGCCAGGTAGTCATTTAAAAAGGATACTCTATGTTCCATATCCCTTCCTATTCCAGAGGCTCATACAAGGTAGGGGATAAATGTTTTCTACTCATGTCAGTGGCAGTTGGCTTCAATACCCTTTTAGCTTTTAAACTTTAATTGTGGCCTGATGTTACAGGAGAGAAATTTAATTTTATAAAAAAAGACGTCTTCCTGTATATTCCATTTATTTTTCACTTTTGCGCAACTGGTTTATCAGACCTTCATCTAGGTGATTTCAGGCTAGGTGAAATAATAAAATTAACAACAACAATGAAAACTTTTGGTTTTATTATTATTTACAAAAGTTTTTATTGTTGTTAATTTTATTATTTTATTTAGCCTGATAAAGGTATGATAAAAGACCAAAACCAGTTGTGCAAAAGTAAAAAATAAATAGAATATACAGGAAGGCATCGTTTTTTGTAAAACTAAAAAAAAATAAAATAAACTGGTTGGCTAGAAGTTGTATTGTAAATTTTTACTTTCCTACCTATACTAGGTAAGGAAAGTATTGCAGTCGCGGGTCATGCGATTTTCCGACATGCGGAGTCCGAAAAACACATTTATAGCCATTGGTTTGTCTGTCTGTCTGTGCCTTAATTTTCTCAGGAACTACTGAACTGATTTTGCTGCTTCTTTTTTTATTTTGTAGGGTTTTGACTACTCATGCCTGTGACAGAAATTCGTTGCTCCATGCGCAATAGCTTGTGCACGATAAATGAAAAACATGTTTTTCTATAGACTGTAGCGCAAAAACGGTTTAACGATTTTGATGAAACTTTTCTATGATGTTCTAATCATTGTCCTTTCAATTTTCGTATATAGACTAAATTTCCAAAAAAATTCAGGAAAAAAAGTTATAAAGAAAAGAAAAAATTATGGGGCTTAGCTACCTAAGTATATATTATACGGTAAAATTTATAATAAAACTTTTGAAAGGTAATTAAATCACCAACAAAACAACAAAAAATTGTCCATTTTGGACAACTATTAACCAAGTTATAGCCACTCAATTTCCAATGTAAGAGTACGGATTCATATCCTAGTGTCAGAAAGGGGTGAATGAGAGAATAAAGATGACTAAGTGAAAGTAAGAAAATCTGTTGCCCGCATCAAACAATCTTCACTATTTCCTCTACTTTTAACAGAAATTATTGTTTGACAATACTAAGCTATGGCAAAAAGTTTTTGATCAGCAATATTGGGAAGTATTGAAATCTTTACACTGATCTATCTTAAGCCGGTTTACATTGCTTTAGTTAATCAAATAAATTGTACTCAAATCGTTTGATCAATTTTCAGGAAAATAAATTTAGTTCAATTCTTTTTTGTTTCTTCATGAACATATGTTGTAAAGATATAAAAACTTTTATGAAATAGGTAGGAAAGTCGTGTGAGTGGACGCACCAGATATTTTATAATATAAAATATCAAAATTAATTAAATTAAATTTTTTGAAAGAAATTTGCTCCCAGCCCTGTAATCAGATTATGAAGCCTGTTCCGGAAGTGTTAAGTAGGCAGGGTTCATGAATGTTGTGTGTGTGTGATTCACGCCACACCAGATTTTTTATTTATTTATTGTATTAGATCTTTTTTTCTCAGAAATGTTTTGAAATAATGTAATTTTTGTTATTTTATATTATATTGTAATTATTGTGTTGCAGCCGTATTGAAGGGTCAGTTGAAGAGAGATAGCTGGCTGGCTGAAAGTGTATTCTACGGGCAGCAGCAATGTGAAGCCCGCGGGTAGCTCGGGCCGAGCCGCAGGGTATGGGCACTCTCCCTCACACACACGTACTTGCTCTCGTCCTTCATCTAGCGACTGTACTCAGTATATAGAAAGGATAAATATCATTGATTAGATCCAGTCTATGATTTTAACTAACATTTATCTCAAATCATTTTCACACGATGAAATTTTTAAGTTGTTTTTATTTTCACATTAAAAAAAAATGGAAAAAAAAAAAGAAAAAAATGTAGAAAGTTAAAATCTTTTCATTACTCATAGATGGTTAAATTTTTAAATGGTTCTGTTAGATGCCTTAATAATGTGTGAGGTGAATTGGAATATCATATGAGTGTATTCTATTGTTGACGTCAGCGTCCATTGAAAATTAATAATAAAAAAAAATAAAAAAATACGAGGAAATGCAGAAGGTTAAGTATAAGAGGATTACGAAATGGTTTAGTATCAATTGATGATGAGGAATAATGCCATTAATGGAATAATGACACTCGAGCAATAAAGTGTTTTTGAGTTTTTTTTTTCATTTACTTATTTATCGTAATATCATTTTGTTATTATATACTCTGTTACCTGGACCAAAGTTACTGCGATAAGCACAGTTTGAAAACCACGTTATCGATGGATGTCGGTAGTCATCATTTCATATGTTTATATTACGATTACAAACCACCGTTTCAAGATTGCATATATTTGAAGAGTTATTTGATTAGATGTCATTATTAATAAAATCTTTTTCTGTTTTACATTTCATTTAAAAACTATGGTATAATATAATGTTCTCTTTTTCCTTACTATAATATTTTTTTTTGTTTTTAAATATTAAATACATGGTAAATGTATGAATGATTTAGATTGCTTCATTTTATTCTCTGTAACAATTAATTAATTTAACTATTTTATTTCAAAATTGATACATATTTTGTACTTTTCCATTTTTTTTCTATCATAAAATATTCTTCTCTTGTATTACAAAAAAACATTTGTAGTAGGCCTATAATTTTTTTTTTTTCATGCTGTATCATTGTGGTAAAGTGTATTATATTTGTATATATATAGACGTTGGGTATGTTCCGCTGTTTGCCCAGAAATAAATGTATTGAAATCAATGTTGAAATATATTGTGTAATAACAATTGGATTTTTATTTTATTTTAATTTTTGCATTATATTAGAAACTTTTTAAATTTGTTATTTCTTTATCTCTCTGATACAGATATGATTTCTTTTAAAGAATTTTTTTTCGCTGATGCACATTTTTTTAATCCTTTAAAGATTTGTTTTTAATTAATTTTGTATTTAAACTAAAAAAATTGTTTGTATTGTTGGAGATTATATTTGAAAAAATAATGCAATATACTGCTTGAATGCATGTATTGAATTATTTCTCTTAATAATATTTTGTATAGATAATTAAAATTGAAATAGATTTCTGATTTCGAATAACTGTAAAATAAAATAAGTTTAGTTGTTTTTTCTAGCGTATCAACGATTCTAAAAAAGTTTTGTTCAAACATCAAATTTTTTCTGTTATTTGTCTGATTAGTCAGTAGTAGTCTTTTAGTTAGAAATTAGAAGGATGAGTAAGGTGTAGGGAAAAATTTTACGAGATCCATATTTTTATTTTGAAACCGTACTTTTTGTCTTAACAATAGTTGAGAATTTACACGTAACTGAGCCCTTTTTGAACTTTGCTTCTTGATATTATTTTTTCTTATTATCCAATTGAAACACATTTTATCTGCCTTTTTTGGATTAAAAAACATGAATCAAAAAGATAAAGTTAAGTTTTGTTTGCAATATTTATTTTTAAATTAATTTCTGAAGATTCAGTTTCCTTCTAGTAGAATTTCACAAGAGATATTGTCAAGATGTCGTTGATTTATTGATCAAGAAGATCGTGTAATTTTAGTACTGTCTCATCTCTTTCCTTCAGTTGTAAACTTTATTTCAATAAATATCTTTAGCTTCTTGTATGGATTTGATCTACCTAAAAAAAATTAGTAACAATAGATATAATACTTAAAGAAAAAAAAACTAAGCATTGACATTGCCTCATTACCTTTGAACTACCAAATAATTTTTTAGATTAAATGTCAATTAATACAAAATATTTATGAAATGGTATCTCTTTGTATTCTGACAGAAAATCTATTTGATATTGACAAAACTTTTTTAGAAATTTATTTAGATTATTCGATCTCACATCTGAGAGTATTCGATCATTAAAATATTTTTTTTTTATTGGCGAGGGGTATTATGATTTTTTTTTTTTTTGGTATAATTGTTGTAAATTATTCGTTTACGAGAGAAAAAAAAAACTATGTATAAGTGTTAATAGTTTGTGTTATAAACACATTACTAAGTCATTAAGTTTTATTAAATAACCAAATACAAGTTGATAGTATGAAATAAATTGTAATTATTTTAAATGTTTAACATTTGAGTGTTCCAATACATGATAATAAAATACATATTTATGTTTTAGTGTAGTATAAAACTGGTCAAATAAAATATTGTTTCAAAAGTGCTTGTATCATTCAGACTGAAATGTCTCAATATTTCTGTAGCTTAATGTAATAATTACTGCAATAAAGATTTCTCATTTTCGGTAAATTAAAATAATTAATGCAGTTTCATAAAAATTAAGTTGTCTCAATCGATGTTGTTCATTCTTGCATATAAGTGTAAATATATTTTATTTTTTACGGATTGCACTACATGAGAAAAATTGGTATTACTTGTTCTTGCATTAAGCGGCAGATAGATTTAATATTTAGTAGTACTTGTCTAGCGAATATCAAATTTAGAAATGCCCGATTTGAATTCTAAAAGTATTAACTGATATTGTAAAATCCCACATAGTTTGGATTAGTTAGCATACCGAGTTTCGACCATTGGCAATAATAAAAAAAAAACACTTTTTTAACCAACCAAAAAAGTTTTGAAATATTTTTAATTAATTGTTTAAAAATTCCTATTAGTCATACAATCTGATATGATTCTTTGTTAAGAACTTAAAATGAAAAATTATGGGAGGTTTTTTAAATTTAAATTCATGAAGTTTTAAATAAAATTAATTTTACAAACCGAATAAAACATTTTTATAATATTCAAAAAAACCGATTACTGGGGTTCAATTATTATTTTTTTAATAAAGGGCCTATAGGATCAATTAAAATAAAAATTAATTATTAAGAAATTGAAAATTTTATTTGGAGATGGATATATTATTTACTGTTATTTTAAAATTATGGGTATGACAAGTAGTCAGGATTTGTAGCCTATAATAAGGTTTATTAGTCTTGGCGATGTTTCGACCTAAGTATATGGGTCATCATCATGGCTAGAAATTAAAAAAATACATTTGAAATAAAATATACAGATAGAACACCAAGAAAAAAAAAAAATTAAGTATATAAATAGTCCAAATGAGTCGTTTATTTCCTGAGTGAATCATTGTCAACTTTTTAGGAAACTCGAAAAACTATATTTCCTGTTCCATTTGTATTATCAAAACCATTATTTTTCTGAAGATAAATTCAAAAATTCTTTACTGATAGATTTTCGAAAATTACTGATTATTCCAGTAGTAATTAAAAAACATTAAAACTTGAATATGAAATTTCAAAACCTGTTGAAAAAATAAAGGTTGATTAGGTTTTGGTTTGCAGAGAAAAAATGGTGTATGATTGGGGAAGAAAAAATTATAAAAATTTTACTATTAAAAATTATCTTGTATATTATAATGCTACAATAATTTTCATTTGAATAAATCTATTAAAACAGCTTTTGATAATTTTTTTTTAAAGAATACTTAAGATATGCAAGTTTCATTACGTTCCTTGATAAACAAGTATGGTTTTTGGGAAAAAAAAAATTGCACCATCAAATTCATTGGGTGTTTTTTTCATGAGAATCATTACTTATCTCATTTTTGATAAAAATCTATAATGATTCACTTTGGAAATATAAGACTCAAATAACAACATGGTAATAGAGATAAATAAAAAGTATATATAAAACAATTACAAAAAGTAATTGGAATATAATAGGTAACGTTATACACTCTTAATTATTGGCTAGCCTAATAAACTATTTAAAGACTGCAAATCCTGATTATTTGTAATCCTCATAATTGTAGTTGTACAATGGTGTTCACAAAATGGTTTCAAAAAACTAATTACTGCTTTGTTAGATTTGTAAGCTATTATATTTAATGAAGAGATTTATTTTAATTTAAAATGAAAACATCAAAAGAAAATATGACAAATCGATTCTTTGGAATATCAAGATTCTTTACGACTTGAAATAAAACTAGAATATACTCATGCTGTAGTGATATGTTGAGAAATAGCAGTTTTAGGCTTAACAATATTCCAACTGATATCTGTTGTTTGTGACGGACACCAATTTACGCAAGATAGTGCTGGAACCATATTTCAAAGGGTCGAAGTATTGTTTGATTGCTTCATGTCATGGTTGTTTCACAATGAATAGCTAACTTTGATATTTGAGTTTTCTGTAGAGTTTTGGCTTGTAATAAAATCTAACTGGGTACTATTTGATCCAGTCGGCCATATCAAATCTAGAATGGTCGACATAGTTTTATAAGCTAGTCAGAAGTTAGTAATTGATATGTTCCAATAAAGAAAAAGTTTGAATCTTTGACGACTACTATTAGATTTATTACAATTGTTTTCAGTTAAAAGAACTAAGAACTATGGATTTATGTAAACATAAAAATATACATATTGAGAACAACTGATACCTAACCTAACTAAGAACTTTGATTCTTGCAAATAAAAAAAAACAATTATCATGGATTCATTCAATTTAATTTTATAAATAACTAGTTTAAAGAATTTATTTTAAGAAATATTTTTGTTGCTAAGGTGTGAATTTGAAATGTGAAACTCATTAAGCCCATTTAATATTTTAATTTTAATATTATCCTCCTGATTAATCAGATTATGTTGTCTAAATGGTTGTATTACTGTTCTCTATATTTTCCACAGGTACTCTTCAATTACTTGTTAATGTTTATAATTAATAAATGAGTCAATTGCTGTAACCATATACTTTCTAGAATAAAGTTGCTCTTTTGAATGGTTTTATTACAAATAATATTTTATTTTTAAACTTCGTTACTTTCTCCTTAACCTGTTTTATAGGACACAATTTCCATGATTTCTCTTTCATTATTTTTTTACATCAGGATATGCTATTTAAGAGTTCAAATAGGATGTTTAAAACGTTTCTTTGATTGATGGTTATGTATTTTAACTACTGTGAAGTGGTTGATATTATATCAACAAGTGTGGATATGACCATAACAATATACAGTTTGGTGTATATAATAATAATAAATTAAACAAATATGAAGGATAAAATTAAAAATGAGAATAAAAAAATGTTATTTATAAAATTAATTGTAAACAATGCACAAAATATTTTGCATTGTGAAAACATCTTCAAAATTTGCAAAATAAAGTAAATCAACATAAAATAAATACTAAAAACCCGAAAAATATCAATGTCACAGCTCTAGCAAGGCATAGTATCAGGAATAATCATATTTTTGATTATAATGAAATAGAAATTTTAAATAGAGTGGAAGATAATAAAATAAGAAAGTATCTAGAATCTATCTATATAACTAAGAATATTAAAGATTTGGTTAATTTCAAAACTGATATTAAGGGGATTGGGGAGCACTATGTAGACATAATTAATAAATTAGAATTTTAAATAAATTAAAATAATTTAAATAATCATTTCAGCAAAATTTATTAGCAACCATATGAAACTTAAATCATTAAAATAATGCAGTACTCTTAATCCCAAAGAGCATAATATGTAAGCCCACAGTACACAGTGGACATAAGGCTATTAAAAAGATCAACCAAGCACAGGACGTTTAACAAGATAACAGGAATAATTTAAACACCATGTCATATAGGTAGTTAGTTTCTTTCTTTTTCTTTCCAAATAAATTATTGTTATATATCTAAATATATGGAAAAAAAATCTTTCGGGCTGAAGCCTCCCCCAAAATTAAATCCTGGATCCGATACTGAACCCAAGAAAAAAAATTTACTTTGATTTATCTCGAAAAATCGACAGCATTTTGTGCAACAGATAGAATGGGCACAAACAAGAAAAAAAAAAAAAACAGCCCAGAGAAACAACCTATTTACATATCTTTGTTTCTAATGATTTATAAAATCTATAGACGTGTATATATATATAGATATCGAATATATCTGTGGGTAAAAACCCAGATATTGTTCCTATCAAAGCCAACGCATTTCTGGTATGATTAATGATAGACACATATATATAGATACTGATAAAATGGTTGGGTGGTGTAGTCAGAAATAAATTTAATTCTAATTATATTTTTATCAGTTCTCTAATAAATTTGGAATCAAAGGCGGATCTAGGGGAGGGGGGAGGAGAGGTGGCTCCTGACTGAAGCCCTCCCCCCAAAATGGTAAAACGTAACAATGTTTTATGGTAAAAATTATGTCTTAAAGTATTATTGCTCGTTTAATTACATTTAATAGGACATTAAGAATCACTTAAACACCATTTCTTAAAGATAGCATCTTTCTTTTTTACCAAAGTAATTATTGTTATATATCTGAAAAAAAGACTTCGGGGCTGAAGCTTGCCTCCAAAAAAAAAAAAAAAAGAAAGAGCTAAAAAGAATACCATAGCTCATAACACTAGCGGACCCAGGATTTAATTTTGGGGGGGGGGGAGTGCTTCAGTCGGGAAGCTTTTTTTTTTCATATTTATAACGATAACTAATTAAAAAAAAAAAGGAAAGAAATTAACTATCTATATGAAATAGTGTTTAAGTGTTTCTTGAAGTTTTATTAAATATAATTACAATATTTTAAGAGATATTTTTTTTCTATAAAACATGGTTATATTTTTCCATTTTGGGGGGCTTCAGCCCGAAAGTCCCCCTCCCCCGTAGATCCGCCTGTGGCTCATAAGATAGCTTTCAGATGCCTTTTAGATATTGGGTGTCTCAAACCAGATGTATTTTTGATAATATTTCTAAGATGGCTTAGAGGATTAAAAACGGCATATAAGATATATTTAGATACATTTTTGCTGGTTGGAATATTGGAATAACGAGTAAAATTGATAATCTAACGTGGAACTTCCAGTAAACCACTAGCGGATCCAGGATTTAATTTTGTGGGGGGGAGGAAGGGACTTCAGCAGGAAAGCTTTTTTTTCCCATAAAAATAACGATAATTACTTTGGAAAAAAAAAGAAAGAAACTAACTACCTACATGAAATGGCGTTTAAGTGATTCCTGAAGTTCTTTTAAATGTAATTACACGACAAATAACACTATAAGAGATAATTTTTAAATATTTTTTTCCATAAAACATGGTTATATTTTACAATTTTAGCGGGGCTTCAGCCCGAAAACTTTTTTTCCCATAAAAATGACGATAATTACTTTGGAAAAAAAGAAAGAAACTAACTACCTATATGAAATGGCGTTTAAGTGATCCCTAGAGTTCTTTTAAATGTAATTACACGACAAATAACACTATAAGAGATAATTTTAAAATATTTTTTTTAAATATTATATTTTACCATTTTGGTGGTGGGCTTCAGCCCCAAAGACCCCGTACTCCTCGTAGATCCGCCCGTGCAGTAAACCGATTGAATGAAAACCTTAAGAGATAAACAAACATCTGTTGACTCTCACCAAGTAAATAATATTTTAGATCACTCTGTATTTTTAGTCTATTTGTTTTTTAAATAGGGTAAAAACACGTATAGCTGGAAGTGTACTAATACCTGACACTCTCCTCGAAAAATGGGAATAATAAAATTTCAGGACCTCCTATATCTCTATTTCATGTATTTTTAGTTTATATATGTTCTCCTTGTATTTTTATCAGTTTTCTTTAGGCTTTTTGGAACCTTAACTGAAATAATGAGTGACAAATTAGGAAGGCCTCTCACAGTCCACTTAGTGTCCCAGGAACAACCATCTGTCATTAGGAGCATCATACCTTAGGTTTGCCTTGTTATATCTAACTATTCTCATTTACCCCAAAATTTTTGTATTATGGTTTTTAAATTATGTTTTATTTGTTCTTAACTAATCTTGATGAAGGAATTGTATATTTAATGGGTGTCAGCTATTGGAGCTTTATAATCGATACTTTTTCCAGTAGTTAGCAGACCTGTACTCACATAAATTCAAAGAGAAATACTCAATATAACGGGTCTTAAAAATGGAACCATTCACTACTGGTTCGTTAAAAAAAAAAAAGCTGTAAATTATTTCACAATGGTTTATTATTTCCATACAATCACAGGCGAATCAACAGGGGGAGGGGTGGCTTCAGGCTGAAGCCCCTCCCCCCCCAAAATGGTAAAATATAACCATGTTTTATAAAAAAAATTGTCTCTAAAAGTATTTTTGTGCGTCAAATTACATTTAATAGGACTTGAAGAATCACTTAAACACCATTTCATATAGGTAGTTAGTTTCTTTCTGTTTCTCCAAAGTAATTATCGTCATTTTTATGAAAAAAAAAAGGTTTCGGGCTGAAGCCCCCCCAAAATTAAATCCTGGATCCGCTAGTGATTACACGAACAATAATAGTTTAAGAGACAGTTTTTAATATTTTTTCTTATAAAACATGGTTATATTTTAACATTTTGGGGGGGCTTCAGCCCGAGAGCCCCCCCCCCCCAGTAAATCCGCCTGTGTCCTCGGGTGACCTCAAATTTTAAATCCAAATTTGTAAAAAATCGATCGAATAGTTTCGGAGAAAATGCGTGGACGGCGTACGACGGACAGACACATTTTTATGCGTTTTTCGAATTCTACGTATCCTGAAACATTATTCAGTAAACATTAACATTATTAAAAATGCTAATGATTAAGATTAAATATAAAGAAAAAAAATAGCTCCTATTGCCAAAAACAGGTTCTTGACATTGACCAACATTTATTGATAAATTTAAGTCGGAAAACATAAGAAGTTAGTTTTAGAATTAGTTAAAGATAATTTTTGTTAAAAAATAATTTAATAAATAATTTTATAAAGATAATTTAAGAAAGATAATTTAATAAATAAATAGTTAAAAGATAATTTTTGTTAACCTAAAAGTGAAGAATATGAAATTTCCCTTAATTAAATCCTTTTTCTTATATCTGTCAGCTGAAACATTTAAAATCAAACACTGTCAGCTACTGGTGCAACCAAACTATTGTGTTAATTTTCAATTTTTTTTTTAAATTTAGATAATTGTTTCATGGATTTGAAATATGGCTCGGTAAGGTGAGAAATAGTTCTAATAAGATGAATCCATGAAAAATATAATAACATCAATATTTAAGTTTTTACACGTAAAAGTTCAAACAAATTTCCTTAAGCATGTCAACTACTGGTGCATTTACCCTGAACAAAAGCAGGTATTCGCTTCATATAGGGACTATTGAGTGTCACGATTCTGAGATATGGGTATCGATTCTACTGATACCGATATCAAAAAATGATATCGATGTAATTACATCTAGCCAAATAGCCGATTGAACCTATGATTCATCGTTCGAATCAACATGAAGAGAAAACGTTTTCATCGATGGTTTCCACCAATGAGTTTAAAGACGGCTTGATGGATTAACGATGTCCTATATGAGGCTCAGCGCTGAGTTAATAACGTCCCATTATCCTGTCGGATGGCTGCAGATGTACAGGTAGATCTACGAGATATCAACCGTCCTTGACACATTTCGGTCATCGCTATTGTCTGACGAGCAACTATGTGTCAACTGAAATTACGACATATTTTAAATTTTGGCTATTTGGTTAATTATTGATAAATATAATACAAATATCTCTAACGAATATTTAGTTTTCCCAGTTACTTACAACTAAGACTTGGATTTGTATGCAAAAAAAAAAAAAAAAAAAATGAAATGGAAATATATATTTTTTATTATCCTGGGACTGTTGTCCCTTTAGGACAAATTATACTCCGAAGTACTGACGGCGATAGAATGGATAGAGCCACTTCAATTCAGTGTAATACTAGTTGCACTAGCGGATCCAGGATTTAATTTGGGGGGGGGG